CGATTCGCCGCGGCCGCGTCCGGCGGCGCGGACGCCGCCGCGGGCGCGTCGGCGCTGTAGGCGCGCTTCCGCGACGGCGCCCCGAGGCGCTGGAGCTCGCGCCGCGCCGCCGCCTCGGCGCCGTTCCGCGGCTCGCGCTCGTCGTCCGCGTCGTCCGAGTCGTCGCGGTCCGCCGGCGCCGGCCGCTGGAGCCGCGGGCGCCGCGCGCGCTGGAGCGAGTCGTCAGCGGAGAAGAGGTCCGCGTAGCGCGGGAGCCTGGCCTGGGCGCCGCGGTCGGCCGCGGCGGACGCGGCCGCGCGCGCGAGGAGAAGCACGCGCGCCTCCATCGCGCTCGGCTCCCGCGGCGCCGCCGGCGACCAGCGCGGCGGCGACGAGCAGGCCGACGAGCCGTCGTCCGAGGAGACGCGCTTCGGCCGCGAACTCGCCCGACACGGCGACCGCGACCGCGACCGGCACCGCGGCGGCCGGCCGCCCCGCTCGTCGCCGCTCGAGCCCGAGCTCGACGACCAGCTCCGGTGCGCGCGCCGCCGCGGCGACTCGGCGGCGTGCGGCGGCAGCGCGAGGCTCGCCAGTTGCGGGATCAGCGCGCAGGGAAGGTCGTCGCCGCGGGCAGCCTCCCCGTGGCGGTCCGGCGGGCTGCCCAGAGGCTGCCCGGCGGCGCGGCCGTCGACGCAAGGGACGTCGCGGGAGGCCTGGCCCATGCTCGCTGGCAGCGCGCAATTATCTCGTCGGTGAGCGCGGCCGGCAGCTGCGCTTGCACTGCGGCGATGCGCCTGCAGGCGCTTCAGAATGGACCACCTAAGGACGCCGCTCTGATGGACTAGGGAAGGATCGGTTCAAAGCAAGAAATCAAAGCATAGGTGGCGGAAAGTTTTGTTGAAGCAAAATGTGGATACGTCGATGCTATTTACCTTCATATTATGCAAACTTTTGGTCCCTTTATCGACGCCACAGGCGTCGATAAGGGGTACAAAAGTTTGCACTGGTCCCAAGTTGAATCAGCGAATGCTGTGCAACTCCGGCTCCGTGCCTTTGCATCTCCTTTGCGCTCAGCATGGGCTTGCTCCTTCTCCTCGGCTGCGCGGCCGCGCTCTCGAGACCAAACGACGTCCTCGGAGCGGTGCGACGCGCGTCGCGCTCCTCCAGCAATGCCGCCGCCGCGACGGCGCAGCGCAACGCGTCCCAGGCCCTCTACGACGGCGTCCTGTCGTCGCGCGACGTCGGCGGCGCGCAGAAGCACGCGGCGCTCTGCGAGCACTTGAAGGAGCGCGGCGCGCGGTCGCCGAGCGCCTGTCCACGCTGCTGGGTGCACCGCGAGGCCTGCGTCTGCACATCGGCGACGGCGCGCGCGCCCGTCGACGTCGTCGTCTGGACTCATCACAGAGAATGGGGGAGAGCATCAAATACGGGCACCGTGCTCCGGGACGCGTTCGAGAACTGCGAGATCCTGGTCAAGGGACATCCTGTCGACGACGCGGCGCTGGCCGCCATGCTCGGCGGCGCCGCGGTGCTGTTTCCGGGGGAAGAGGCGGCGCCCGTCTCGAGCCTCGCCGCGCCGCCGGAGACGCTCATCGTCGTCGACGCGACCTGGCGCAACGCCCGCCGCATGGTGAGGCGACTACCGCCGTCGGTGCGACGCGTGAAGCTCGACGACGACGACGCGACCGAGGCCAACCTGATCGCGCCGCTCCGGCGAACGCGCGGCCGCGAGGACGTCAAGGTCTGCACCGCCCAGGCGACGCTGGCGGCCCTCGCAGCCCTCGGCCTCGAGGACGACGCCCGCGACGCCGCGCTCGCCGCCGTCCGCCACAAGGTCGCCGTCGTCGCGGCGCTGAGAGGGAGAGGAGGGGTAAGTTGAAGCTGAAATTGAAGCTCTCACCGCATATGATGGCCTTGGTGGCGGCGCTCTCGCGCCTGCTCGTGGCAGCGAGCTGCTGCCTGGCGCTGCGACCGATGCAGCCGGCGCGCCAGCCGACGCGCGCAACGCATTTCAGACCAATGATGCGCGCGGCGACGCGCCTGCGCGCGCTGGCGCTCGAGGACCAGCTCCTCGAGGGCGCGACGCCGCTCGATGCCGTGGGCGTCGCCGCCGCCGCCGCGGCCGTGCGCGACGCGGGCGTCGCGCGCATCGCCGAGCCCGTGCTCGATCGCGACGATGCGGCGGCGCTGCGCGCGCGCATCCTGTCGGAGCTCGCGGCGCGCGACGGCGCGTGGTCCCGCGAGGACCGCCGCATGGTGCCGGGGACGCGGCTGCGCTTCGAGGAGGTCGTCGAGATCGCCTTCGACGACGGCACGCGCAGCGACGTGCTGCTGCCCCTCGAGGACGATCTGGTGAAGGCCGCGGTCGCCAAGGCCGCCGCGCTGCTGGCGCCGGCCTGGGAGGGCGCGGCGGAATGTTTGCCCGGCGACGGCGACGGCCTCGAGCTCATCGAGTGCGCGGCGCTCATCGCCTGGCCGGGCTCGCAGCACCAGACGCTCCACGCGGACTTTTTGCGCATCGACGAGATGGACGACTTGGACGACGACGACGACGACTACGTCGACGACGACGCGGGCAACGAGATGGACGAGCTGGACGACGAGTTGGACGACTTCGTCGACGACGACGCGGGCAACGACCTGCCGCCGCGGCTCGTGACGTTCATCTACCTGCAGGACTGCCCGACGGTCGCGCACGGGCCGACGGCGTTCTTGCCGGGGAGCGCGAACGGCGAGGCGCACCTCATGAACGAGTTCGACGAGGCCCTGCTCGTCGAGGAGTTCGCGCCCGCGCGCGTCGCCACCGTCGACGCCGGCGCCGCGGTGATCTACGACGCGTCGGTCCTGCACCACGCGACGGCGAACACCGTCTCCGACAACGACCGCGTCGTCTTCTACTGCTCCTTCGCGCGGCGCGGCGCCGCGGCGGCGGCCTACATCGCGCCCGAGGCCGTGCCCCCGGGCATGGCGGAAGTCGCGCCGATCCCGCTGGAGCGGCTCCTTCCCGGGCGATAGCGGGAGTTCCCGGGGGGTGGTGGCTTAGGGGTTCCCCGGGTCGTGTCATTCTTGTTGCTTGGGTGGGGTCGGTTCTCGCGCGCCTACTTGTTCTGGAGCGCCGCGAGGCGCGAGGACCGCTTCGGCGGCGGCGGCTCGTCGTCGTCGTCGTCGTCGTCGTCGTCGGACTCGGACTCGACCTTGCGGGACTTGGCGCTCCGGGGCTCGCCCGCCGTCGACTTGCGCTTCGGCGAGGGCCGCGGCGGCTCCGGGAGGCCCTCGCCCGTCGCGAGGAAGTAGTCGTCGAGGCCGAGCTGGTTGACGCCGCCGATGACGGTCTGCTTGTTGAGCTTGTCCTCGGGCACGACGCTCGCGCAGGCCTTCTTGAAGGCCTTGGACGCGCCGCTCTTGGGGTTCGCGAGCTGCTCGCGGAGCGCGACGGCGGCGCGGGGCAGCGACGCCGACGCGGCGAACTCCTCGCGGATCTTGCTCATGTGGACCTTCGCGCCCTTCTCGCGGCGGAGGAACTTGGTGCACCAGGCCGCGGCCTTGTCCGTCCAGTCCTCGCCCGTCCAGTCGTCCCTGGCCGGCGACTTGGCCGGCGACTTGGCCTTGGCCGGCGACTTGGCCTTGGCGGGCGACTTGGCCTTGGCCGGCGACGCGGCCTTGGCCGCGCGCGAGAGCCACGCGCCCTCGTCCGGCGCGTCGTCGTCGTCGTCGTCGTCGTCGTCGGGCGCCGGCGGCGCGGCGCCCTTGTTCATGTTGCGCCACTTGTCGCGGAGGTCCTGGCCCGTGCGGCCGCTCTTCTTGAGCACCGAGAACTCGTCGCGGATCTTCGCCCACTGGTTCGGGTACGTGCGCATGCCGTCGCGGAGCGCGCGCTCCTCGTCGGCCGTCCAGCGGTTGCGCCGCCGCGAGCCCGCGAGCGTCTTCGCGCGGTCCGGCGCCTTGGCGCCCAGCAAATTGGTGGACTGGCCGCGCTCGGGCGACTCGACCTCGTCGTCGTCGTCGGAGTCGTCCATGAGGCTCGCGCGGCGCTTCTTCTTGGCGCTGGACCGGGGCGCCGCGGGCGACGCGGCCCGCGAGCCCCCGGCCCGGGGCGCGAGGGGCGACCGCGCGGGCGACGCGCGCGGCGGCGGCGCCGCGGGCGACCGCGCGGGCGACGCGAAGCGCGCGGGCGACGCGCGCGGCGCGGGCGACCGCGGCGGCGGCGCCGCGACCTCGAAGGCGTCGTCGGCGGGGAAGGTCCGGCCCCGCGCGCCCTGGAGCTCCGCCGTCGCCGGCGCGGGCATGGGCGCGCCGATCGCCGGCGGCGTCGGCGGCGGCCGGTACCGCGGCGCCGCGGGCGCCGCGGGCGCCGCGCGGCCCTCGGCGACGATGGCGCGCCGCGGCTCGCGCGCCGCCGCGTCCTCGAACATGGCGAAGAGCCGCGGCGCCGCGAGGTAGCGGTCCTCGACGCCGCGGAGGAGCTCGTCGGCCGCGGCGAGCGCCGAGTCGTCGACGACGCCGCCGAGCTCCTCGCGGAGCGCGCCCGTGCGCTCGTTGGGGTCCTCGAGGCGCGCGGCCTTCATGACGCGCGCCTTCTTGAGCGCGATGCTGCGCACGTAGCCGTGGGACATGGGGTGCGGCGACTTGAACTTGTCGGTCTCGTAGACGACGTCGAGCTTCGCGCCGAGGAGCTCCGCGGACACGCCGCCGTCGCCGCCCACGGACTCCTTGCAGGCGAGGATCGCGCCCATGTCGCGCAGGCCCTCGAGCGCCGCGTCCGCGTCCTTGGTCCAGGGGTGGACGCCGAGCTCGAGCAGCGTCTCCGCGAGGCCCTCGAGCGCGAGGCGCACGGTGTCGTACGTCTTCTCGGAGGCGTCCACGATCTGCTGCGCCGTCACGTTGATCTTGAACCGGGTCATGAGGCGCTGCGCGGGGGGCGGGGGGGGGACGTGAGCGAGCGCGCGGCGCGGCGCGGCGCGCGCCGACGCACCGAGTTCGGCTCCATCTCGACCTTCCGCTCGTACATCGCGTCCAGGGTCGAGCGGACCAGGTCGTAGTCGCGGACCCAGCACGCGTAGTCGAGCTGGAGCTCGAACTCGTAGGTCGCGGCGTCGGCGGACAGTTGTCGGCCGGGCGGCGGGAGAGACATCGTATTCTGTTTCAGGGAGCGGCGCAGCGGCGCTCGTCGGTTTTTCTTCTTACGGCGGCGAAGGGCGGCGTCGGTGTGGGCACCACGATGACGTGACGGGTACCCGGTGGGACTCGGCTCTGGGCGTTCCCGCACGACGAAGATGGTTCTATTGGGGTTCGCGTCGCGTCCAATCCTATAGACTTGGGGTTGGCCAACAGCCACCCGAGTAAATCAAAACTGCAAGTTCAGGTGGTGCAGCGTGCGGTGATTGCGATGGTAGCCAGCCCGGTCTCGCTCTGCCTCTACATCACATGCGATGGGGCAAAGCTCAAACTACCGCGCGTCACAGCATCAAAACGCGTCGCTCAGCTCGCGAAGGCCTTTGTGAAATCCGTCAGCGGCAAGTCGGCCTACGCCGGCCTCGAGCCGCAGCATGTCACCTTCGAAATCAACGGCACGGTCATCGGCGGAGCTGACGTCGTCGGCGACGTCTGCCGCGATGGCGACGTCCTGACAGCGAAGATCTCGCCAACGGCGCAGACATCCGCGCCACCAGCGAAGGCGGCGGTTTCGCGGGAGCCCGAGCGCCGCGCCGCCGCCTCACCCCAAACGCCGCCGCGAGAGGAGTCCGCCGCCCGCGCGCCGCCGCCCGAGCGCCGCGCCGCCGCCACACCCCAGACGCCGCCGCCGCAAGAGGAGTGGTACGGCGCGGAGGACGCTCTTGCTCAGCGCGCTAGGTCGCAGATTTTCCGGACGAACGCCAAAATCAAAATCGGCGGCGGGTCGCGCGCGGACGACGCGAGGTTCTTCTCGCAGTGGGGCGAAGACAAGTTCCTCAGCCGCTACTTCTTAAACGTGCCGGCCGCGGACGGCTCATTCTTGGAACTCGGAGCCTGCGACGGCGTGAGCTTCTCCAATACGAAGTATTTCGAGGACGTCCTGGGCTACGGTCGCGGCGTGCTCGTCGAGCCCGTGCCCGCCATGTTCTCGCGGATCGCGACGCACCGACCCCGCTGCGCGGCCGTCTGCGCGGCCATGACGTCGCCGGCGCGGGCCGGCGGCGCGCTCGAGTTCGTCGGCGACTGCGAAACCGCGGGCGCCGTCGCGACGATGGGCGAGGCGCACGCGGCGCGGTGGCACGCGGGCGCGACACCCTTCACAGTGCCCGCGCGGACGCTCCGGGACGTGCTCGTCGACGACGCGGCGACGCGGCGCGACTACCTCGACTTCTTCTCGTTGGACGTCGAGGGCCACGAGGTCGACGTGCTCGAGGGCTTCCCCTGGGACGTCGTGCCCGTCGGCGTCCTGCTCGTCGAGACGCTCGACGCGCACCCGGGCGCGAACGACGCGTGCCGCGCGCTGCTCCGCGAGCGGACGCGGCTCAAGTTCGCCGGCGTCTGCGGCAAGTCGTCCGCGGGCTGCTCCGAGGTCTGGTGCGACCCGGCCTACTTCCGGCGTCGGAAGCTCTTCGCGCTCCCGGCCGGCGCGCCGCCGGCGCGGGACGGCTGGGCGAAGGCGCGGCCGTAACGGTACTCGGGTCGCACCACTACGCCGCGGCGCGCGCGGGGCGTCGGAGGGAAAGGGGGAAAGCGCGCGCGCAGAACGGCCGCCGGCTCACCAGGCGAGGCCGTCGTTGACGACGTTGGAGGCGAGGTACTCCGCGCGGATCTCCGCCGCGGCCTGCGGGCCGACGTACGAGGGCCCCGGCGAGTCGAGCGTCTCCGGGTCCTTGTCGAGGAACGGCAGCCCCGTGTACTTGAAGTGGGGCTCGACGAGGTGCTGCTCGACCTCGTCGCGGTCCTCCTGGATGCGCTGGAAGTCGACGCAGGCCGTGTACTCGTCCATCCAGCCGTAGGGGTAGGAGAAGTAGCACTCGAGCGGCGAGATGCGCGAGTAGTAGGTGCGCATGTAGAGCGACGCGGACGCGTCGTCGTCCATCTCGTTCATGGCCTTGAGGGCCTCCGGGTTGAACTTCCAGACGCCGAGCGTCGACAGGCCCGTCGCGAGCGACTCGTCCAGGCCCTGGAGCGCCTCGCGGTTCGAGAAGAGCGGCAGGGGCCCGTCGGCGTAGCGCTTCTTCACGGACGCGGGCAGGTTCGCCGCCATGCCCGCCTCGCCCCAGCCGCCCCACATGATGGAGCAGCAGGGCTTGCCCAACGCCACGCGGTGCCGCGCCAGACCGTTGAGGAACGAGTTCGCGGCCGCGTAGTTCGACTGGCCCCGCGAGCCCATCGTCGCGAGCGACGAGAAGAGCCAGAAGAAGTGGAGCGGGTTCTCGTGCTTCTCCAGGGCGTCGTGGACGTAGAGCGCGCCCTTGGCCTTGGGCGCGAAGACCGCCTCGAAGTCGGACCACTCCTGCTTCTCGAGGACGTTGTCCCGGAGGATGCCCGCGGCGTGGACGAAGCCCTTGAGGTTCGGCGTGTGCTCCTTGACGAAGGCCTCGACGAGCTCGGGCTTGGACACGTCGCACTTGATCTGCTCCGCGACCATGGCCGTGCCCGCGATGGCCGCCTGCACGTTCTTCCACATGGACTCCTGCTCCGCCGGGATCTTCGCGGACCGCGACAGGAACAGGAACTTCGTCGTCGCGGAGGACTTCGAGGCGCCCATCTTCTCGATGAGGAAAAGCGTCATGACCATGGCCAACGCGCCGTTGCCCCCCGACAGCGCGACGACGCCCTCCGTGTAGAGGTGGGGCTTGAGGTAGGACTCGAACTTGGTCGTCTCGTCGAGCCAGGGCTGGTCCTTCTGGGGCGCGACGGCGTACTTGTGGTGGCTCATGAGGCGCGCGCAGTAGCGGCCCTTGGCCCCGAGCCGCACCTGGTTCGCGCCGAAGAGGCCCGGCCGGAACAACTCCAACGCGACGTGCTCCATCATCGCGTCGTCGAGGTACCAGTCCAGGTCCAGATGTAAGATGGGCAGCGTCTCCAGCTCGACGCGGAGGCAGTTGAGGAAGCCCTCGAAGGTCGCGTTCGTGACGACGCCGAGGCCGTACTCGTCGTGGAGCTGCTTCGCGTCCGAAAAGACGTCGGACGTGAGCACGGCCAGTTTCTTCACGAGGTCCGGATCCGCGACCATGATCTTGCCCAGGTCGAACAGGAACTTGAGCGTGTCCGCCTGCTTCTTCGCGACGTCCTCGACGGAGTTCGTGCTCGGCAGGTCCATGCCGTAGCCGACGATGACCATGTCCCAGCCCTGGTCGAGCTCGCGCTTGATCTTCCGCTCCGAGAGCTCGCCCATGGACTTCTTCACGACCTTGACGCGGCCGGCGCCGCAGCCCCCGCGGCCCCACTTGGAGCCGTAGCCGATGTCGTCCTCGTCGCCGCCGGGCCACTCCGTCTTGAGCGCCTTGACGACCTCGGCGCAGATGCCGTTCTCGTCCGCGAAGACCAAAATGTCGTGCGTCGCGATCTTGTCCTCGGGGTGCATGTCGAGGAGCGGCTCCCAGCACCACTCCGTGAGGTAGCACATGGCCGTGCTCAGGCGCTCGAGGCGGCCCGCCCAGTCGCTCTCGCGCCGCTGCTTGGGCGTCGGCTTGATGCCCAGCTGCCACTCGGCGTACTTGCCGCCCTCGGGCGTCACCTGGACGGCGCCGATCTTCTCCCAGTCGACGAAGATGCGCCCCTTCTTCTTGCTCTTGCCATCCTTGGCCTTGTTGTCCTTGCGGTCCGCGAGGGTGGCCATGGTCCCGCTTCGGAAAGCACCAGAGTCCACTCGCAGGTGTGGGGCTGCAACACCTATGCAAGACAAACCTTCGCTCTCGCTGTGGGATTATGAAGGCCTTCCACACCGCCATCACGCGCCGCCTCTCCGTCGCGCCGCGGCGCGCCGTGGACCCCACGAATACGGAGTCCTCGCTGGCGGCCTTCGGGAGCGGCGCCCTGCTCGCGCGCGCGTCGCTCATGTCGGCCCTGCGCCTGCCGGGCTTCGTGCCCTGCGCCAAGTTCGCGCTGGCCTTCGGCGCGAACGGCGCGCGGAGCGCGAACCCGGCCTACAACCTCGCGGGCCGCGGCGTCCTCGCCGTGGCCCAGCGGCTCGTCGAGGGCACCTTCGTCGCCGGCGAGTCGCTCGACGACGCGCTGCGACTGGCCGAGCGGCTCGAGGCGGAGCGCGGCGTCGGCGTGCTCATCGACCACAGCGTCGAGGACGCCGTCGACCTCGGCGCGAACCGCGCGCGCAAGGCCCGACTCGTCGACGCCGTGCCGGCGGGCGCCATGGTGCCTCTCAAGGCGACGGCGCTCGCGGACGTGGCCATGCTCGAGGAGCTCTCGGATCTCGTCGCCCGGGCCGACGACCCGGACGCCGCGCGCCTCGACGGCGCCCTCGCGGACCGGCTGGACTCGTCGCACGCCTACGCCGAGGCCGTCGACTGCCTCGCGGCCCTGGGCGAGGCCGCGGGGCGCCGCGGCGTCGCGCTGCTCCTCGACGCGGAGCGGACGCCGATCCAGCCCGCCGTGGACCACGTCGCCCTCGCGGTGCTGCGGCGCTTCGCCGGCGCCCCGAGGCCCGCGCTCTACAACACGTACCAGTGCTACCTCGCGGGCAGCGGCCGGCGGCTCCGCCTGGACGAGGCCGCGTGCGCCGCGGCCGGCGCGCCGTTCGGCGCCAAGGTCGTCCGCGGCGCGTACCTCGCGGACGAGCGGCCCACGGGCAAGGTGCGCGAGTCCAAGGCGGCGACGGACGCGGCCTACGACGCCGCCCTGGCCTCGATGCTCGGCGCCGCGGCCGCCGGGCGGCCCGCGTTTCTCGTCGCCGCGACGCACAACCCGGACTCGGCCGCCAAGGCCGTCGACGCGCTCGACGAGCTGGGCCTGCGCCGCGACGACGAGCGCGTCGCCTTCGCGCAAATCCTGGGCATGTGCGACACGCTCACGGCCGCGCTCGCGGCCGCGGGCTGCCGCCAGGGCAGCAAAAGAGAGCGAAATTCCCAACTTCAAAGGCTCCGATCTCGGCCGTTTTCCACTCGTTTCGGCTGATTTTTGGACGAGCGATCATCTCTCGGAACGGTCTCGAAGCGTGGATGCTTTTTCTGGAACGCGCGCGCGCTGAACACTCACGTTGAAGCGACGTTGAATCACCCTTTTGCTGCCCAGGCTGCCGCGCGCGCAAGCTCGTGCTCTACGGCGCGTTCGACGACGTCGCGCCCTGGATCGCCCGGCGCCTCGACGAGAACAAGGACGCCCTCGGCGCGCCCATCGCCGAGAACGCGCTGCTCTGGCGCGAGCTCCGGCGGCGCGCGTTCGGAAGAACGGCGGCGGCCTCGCCCGCGGATCTCGCGCCCTAACACGAGTGAGCATTCAAAAGTTCAGCTAGAATAACACTCGGGGGCACAGTGCGGGCGGGGTCGCCCGGCAAGCGCGCGCTTTTTTCCGAGCGAAAAACAGTGCGGCGGGGTTCGAAGGGGGGGGGTCTAGTTGGGCGCCATGCCGCCGTAGCCGCGCGCGCGGTACTTGCAGTCGTCGCCGTACTCGTCGTAGCAGTCCTTGAGCGTGTGGTCCATGCGCCACTTCATGATCTGCTCGATGATGAGCGTGTGGTGGAGGAAGGTGAAGGCGACGTAGAGGACGACGGCCTCCGTCGTGAAGTTCATGGCGGCGATGCGGACGCGCGCGGCCATGGACTGGCCGTGGCTCAGCACGGAGCCGATGATGACCGTGTCCGTGAAGGTGAAGACGATGACGAGGGCGATGAGCGACGCGCGCACGACCTTGGAGATGTAGTTGGCGTCGGAGGAGATGCCGAGCGCGTTGAGCGGCCCGTCCTCGTGGTACTCGAAGACGTCGCCGTAGGACGACTTCTTCTGCATGAGCCAGATGCAGACGAGCTGGATGACGAAGGACGCCGTGAAGTTGCACCAGCAGCCGATGGAGAAGTTCTTCTGGGCGATGGGCTCGACGCGGATCATGCGGCACATCTCGCGCAGGTTGGCTTGCGAGGGGATGCCCTCGATGAAATCGTCGCTGTCGTCGTCCAGGCCGAAGGCCTTGCGCGAGAAGAGCGCGAAGGTCTCGCCGAGCAGGTTGTCGACGCTCAGCAGGAAGTTGAGCGCCGTGCAGTTGAGCACGAGGTCCACGGTGCCGTCGGACGTGCCGATGAGGAAGATGGCCGCGGACACGTAGGAGATGTTGAAGACGCGCACGCTCTTGTCCAGCAGCTGGGCGACGAGCCAGCGCCACATGGCCACGGGCTCGGCGTCCTTGTTGCCCGTCACGACGGGCCGGCACATGTTCAGCAGCAGGTGGTTGAGCATGCACTCGCGGAACGCGCCCCGCAGGTCCAGCGAGATGACGAGCGACGCGACGCCCGACACGAGGACCGTGCCCAGGGGCACGTCGAAGACGAGCGTGTCGTAGACGAAGGCCCAGTACGTCTTGTGGCGCGTCTTCGTCGAGCCCCAGCCGAAGACGAGGTCGTCCTCCCACTCGACGACCTGCGTGACCTGGTCCTGGACGGAGGCCGTGAGCACGTTGAGCACCATGCTCGTGAGGATGGCGCAGAACGTCTGGAGGATCAGCGACGACCGGGGCTTCGCGTCCGTCGTGCCGGGAGTGCACAGCGCGGAGATGCACGCGGTGTTGAAGGACGTGAGCTCGTCCTCGAGCTCCTCGAGCATCTCGTCGCAGTCGTCGGATTTCTTCGACGAGTCGTCGTCGTCGCTCTTGGCCCGCGCCTCGAGCGCGGCGAGCCGCGCGAGCACCTTCTCCCAGTCGGACGCGCTCGGGCCGATGCGCTCCGTGAGGCGCGCGAGGACCTTCTCCCGCTCGTCCTTGGTCATCGCGCTCTTCGCCTCGCGGGCCCCGTGGTCGTGGTGGTCGCCGTTGTCGTCGAAGGTCTCCGTGAGGGTGATGTCGTCGGCAATGAGGGCGGGCATCATGACGTCCACGGGCTCGGCCTTGGCCGGGGTCGGCGACTCCGGCGCCCCGTTGTCGGGCGCCTGCGCGACCGAGGCGTAGGCGGGGTCGTCGGGCTTCGCGGGCTCCGCCATGCGTCTCGGGCGGGCTGCGGCGTCAGGCGGAGAAGATGATCACGGCGGGCAGCCTGCCCCGTGGCATCGGCGAAATCATTCATAAGTTAATGGCTGGATCGGCATCATGCATCTCAATTTTTTGCCTACGATGAAGTTAATAATGAAGCGGCCCAGGCGAGGTCCGCGCGCGCCTCGGGGCCGCCCGGGAGGGGGATCGCGTCCTGGGGCCGCTTGCCGCTGAGGGCCTCGTCGCGGTAGTGGTTGATCCAGCAGGCGCCGCCGTCGACCTGGAAGACGCCGCGCCGCCCGCGGCACGCCGGCCGGTGGAAGTTCGCGTCCTCGAGTTGGCCCGGCGCGACGACGCACTTGCGGTTCATCTGGCGCGCGACGACGGTCCCGGGCAGCTCGGGCCCGCCGAGGGGCCCGTCGTAGAGCCAGCGCAGCAGGCACGCGCAGGGGTTGCCGTCGCCCGCGGCGGCCGACGCGCCGTCGAGCGCCGCCGCGAGGTCCCGCGAGGTCCCCAGATCCGCGCAGGTGACGAGCTCGTCGAGGTCCACGCTCAGGAGCATGCGGGCGTCGCCGCCGTAGGCGAAGGCGCAGTAGGCCATGGCGAGGTGCTGGCCCACGGGGCCGCCCTTGGCCGTCCGCGCCCTCGAGTTCCGGAGCACGTCCGCGAAGGTCCACCCGTGGTAGGCCACGTCCCGCGCGTCCCCGAGGTGGGCCTCGAGCGCGCGCTCGCCGTCCCAGACGACGAACCGCTCCACGCCCACGGCGCGGTAGTAGCGCAGGAAGCGGTCGACGGCGTCGCGCCGCGGCCGGTAGACGGGCTCGAGGCAGCTCGTGAGCCGCGACGCGACCGGCGGCGCCGTCGGCGCGTCGAGCACAAAGTCGGCGACGTCGTCGTCCAGGGGCGCGCCCCGGGCCGGCGGCCGCGCCGGCGACCGCCGGCAGCGCACGCGGAGGTCCCCTCGTCGGCCGGCGGACGCGTATCCCGACGCGGGGCACCGCAGCACGAGGTGCGCCGTGTTGAACTGCTCGCCGCGCAGGTCGCCCTGGGGCGACGCGGCGACCCAGCCGCGGCCGCCGTCGTCGCTGCAGTGGAAGCTCACGTTGCCGCCGGGCGAGAAGTTGCGCTGGCCCCGCGTCGCCATGGCCACGAGCACCTCGGCGTCGCCGCTGCCGTCGCGCGCGCGCCGCGCCGCGAGCACCGCGATGCTCGCCCACGTCTTGTGCTGCGCGGGTGGCGTCGCATGCCGCGCGGCTAGCGCGCGCGCGATGAGTAGTATTGCAACGAGGCAGCCCATCGTGCTCAGATCGTGCTTCACCTTGCGGGATCGATCGACCTTGCACATTTTGAGCGCAGACCTCGGTCTGAGTAAATTGGTGCGGCCTCGTCGCGACCTATCACGGGTCGAGTCGCCGACGCGCTCGAGCCTAACAACAGGTCGCGGAGGAGCAGTCCTACGCCGCGGCGCCGTCCCCACCGCGATGCCATCGCCGATGGAGACCAAGGAACAAAGCATCGAGCTCATGGAACTCGGGGCCGCGAAGGAGGCGGAGACGACAGAAACGACGACGACGACGCGGCGCCTGAACCTGGGATGGGTCGTCGCGCTCAACGTCGCCCTGGCGCTCGCGGAGATCGTCGTCGGCACGTCGATCCACTCGCTCGCGCTCGTCTCCGACGGCGCGCACAATTTTAGCGACGCGGCGTCGGCGTACGTCGCCATGCTCGCCGAGTCCTTCGACGCGAACGACTACGACCGCGACCGGTTGCCGTTCGGCTACGCGCGGGCGCCGACGGTCGGCGCGCTCGTCAACGTCGCGGCGCTCGAGGCGCTCTGCCTGTCCATCGCGCTGAGCGCGCTCTGCCGCTTCTACGCGCCCGTCGCGGTGTCGGATCTGCGCGCGCTTTTGATCGTCTCGGCCGTCGGCGCCGTCGTCAACTTCGCGAGCGCGCTCCTCGCCTGCTGCGGCGTCGAGGGCGCGCACGTCCACGTCGGCGGCGGCGCCTGCGCGCTCCACGGCGGCGGCGCGGGGCGGTGGGACGCGTCCGCCGGGTGGCAGATGGCCTGCGACTGCGGCGGTCTCGTCGCGCCGCCGCCGCAACCGAAGGCGACGCGAGGGACGAAGATCGCGTTCCAGGCGCTCCCGTCGTCCGACGCCGCCTGCGCGCCCTGCGGCCCGGAACCCGACGACGACGCAGCGCCGGCGCCGCGCCTCGACGTCGGCCGCGTCGCGAGATCTCGTCCTGCACCACGTCGGCGACGCCGCGGGGTGCCTGCTCCTCCTCGGCGAGGCCGTGCTTTTGCGGCACGGCGGCCGCGCGCTGCCGAGCCGCGTCGCGCGGGGCCTCGGCCTCTACCTCGACCCGGCGCTCTCGCTCTTCCTGAGCCTCGCCATCGGGGCCGCTGCCTGGCCCGTCGGGCGCCGCGCCGCGTGGGCGCTGCTCGAGGGCGCGCCGGACGACGCGGCCGAGCTGCGGGACCGCCACGAGGCCGCGCTCGCGGGCCGCGCGGGCGTCGACGCGGCCGCGCTCGTGCACCTCCGCGACCAGCCGGCGCTCGAGCGGTGCGCCGTCGTGCGCCTCGAGGCCCGCCGCGACGACAAGGTCGCCGCGAGCGCGGCGCGCGCGGGCGTCCGCGTCGAGTCCGTCGCCGACGTCGCGCGCCGCGTGCTGCGCAAGTTCGGCGCGACGCGCCACGCGTACGTCGAGGTCAACGAGCAGCGGACCGCGGGGGCGCTCAGGCTGGTCTAGTTTGTTTTTTCGCTGTGCTTCAACATCCGAGGGTGAAGTTGGATGAAGTGACATCAACGAGGAGCGGACCGCGGGGGCGCTGGTCTAGTTTGTTTTTTCTCTGTGCTTCAACATCCGAGGGTGAAGCTTGGATGAAGTGACATTGAACCGAGAAGCGCAGCCGCTCTCCGCTCTCCGTCGTCGCTCTCCGCAGCGCCAGCAGCCTTAAAAACCATGTCCGCCGTCGTCGACTACAGCAAGTGGGACAACCTCGACGACTCCGACGACGACGCGGCGGCGCCCGCGGAGCCGTCCGCGGCGCCCGCGGCGCCGGACGAGGCCGTGCAGGCGACGCCGGCGATCCAGGAGCGCTCCGTGCCCGACGGCGCGCAGATCGCGACGTCGCGCGAGGCCGCGGGCCCCGAGGGCCACGTCATGGACGCCAAGGGCGAGGTGCGGAGCGTCGGGTCGCTCACGCCCAAGGGGAGCGAGAAGGGCCGGTACCAGTTCAAACACGAGGGCCGTGTGATCTACGAGTGGGACCAGTCGCTCGAGGACGTGAACATCTACATCACGCCGCCGCCGGGCGTCGTGCCGGACATGATCGACTGCACGATCTCGCCGAACCACCTCCGGCTCGGCCTCCGGGGCAACCCGCCGTTCCTCGACGAGGCGACGGGCGGGCCCGTCGTCGTCAAGGAGAGCCACTGGTACATGAACGACGGCGAGCTCACGGTCCTCTTCGCGAAGATGCGCAAGGGCGAGACCTGGGACGGCGCCCTCGCGACCCGCGGCAAGGTCGACCCCTTCACGCGGCAGGAGATCCAGCGCGAGATGATGCTCGAGCGGTTCCAGGAGGAGAACCCGGGCTTCGACTTCCGCTCCGCCGAGTTCAACGGCCAGGTCCCGGACCCGCGCGCCTTCATGGGCGGCGTCAAGTACACCTGAGGCGGCGCGGTTTTTAAATTTAGCGTAAGCGCTGCTCGTTAACGGCAAGTCGAACTGTTTTGCCACAAGGAAGAGCGCGTATAGTAGGCAAGCCCGCCGCAGCGGCTGCTGGCAGCATGGCCGAGGACTGCGCCGCAGCGGCTGCTGGCAGCATGGCCGAGGACTGGGTCGCGCACGTCGATCCTGCGACGAGCAAGACGTACTACCACAACGCGAAGACGCAGGAGACGGTCTGGGAGCGGCCGGCGGCGCTCGCACCTCCACCAGAGGAGGCGGAGGTCGAGTGGGTGAAGCACGTCCTGCCCTGCGGCAAGGAGTACTACGAGCACACGGCCACGGAGGAGACGTCGTGGACCGTGCCCGCGGGCTACCACGCGGCCATCGCCAAGCGCGACTGGCGCGAGCGCGAGGACTCCGGCAGCGGCGAACTCTACTACTACAACCTGCGGACCCAGGAGACGTCCTGGGAGCCGCCCGAGGGCTACGCCGAGGCGCAACTCGCGAAACGCGACGACGACGGGCCGCCGCCGGAGGTGACGCCGCGCGCGAACCCCGTGGCCATCTTCGACACGTCCGTCGGGAGCTTCGAGGCGGAGATCTACCTGGACCGCGTGCCCGTGATGGCGTCGAATTTCATGGATTTGGCGAAGAAGGGCTTCTACAACCAGACGCACGTGCACCGCGTCACGCCGGGCACGATGGTCTGGCTGGGCTGCCCCCACTCCGCGGACCTGGACCACGACTCCGTGGGCAAGGGGCTGCCGCCGGCGGGGCCGTTCCAGAACCTCTGGACGGGCGAGACCGAGGAGCGGACGGACCCGGGCTTCATCAAGGAGGACCGCTCGGACCGCACGTCCAACGCGGCGGGCTGCCTCGCCATGGTCAACGCGGGCCGCCCGGGGACGACGGGGAGCATCTTTGTGATTTCGGCGGTCGACAACCCCGAGATCGACCACTTCCGCAAGGGGGCCATGAAGTTCCCCGTCTTCGGCAAGCTCCTCGGCGCCCACTCGCTGGCCCTCTGCCGGCGCCTGTCGGAGGTGGCCTGGACGCGGAGCCCCGCGGGCCACCCGCGGCCCGAGGTGCCCGTGCGGCTGTCGCTCGTATCGCTCCGCGACGGCAGCACGGAGGCCGGCGTCTTCCGGTCCGCGAAGGACGTCTACCGCGCCATGGCGGCGGACAGCGGGCCCGCGGCGAAGAAGGCGAGGGTTTTGCCCAGCCCCCGGATGGACGACCCCTGGGGCCCGCAGTACGGGCGGACTCCGGGCGGGCGGACCTAGTCTACGTGTGTTACGCCTCGAGCGTGAGGGGCCGGTCCGGCCCGGCGAAGTTGACGAACGACTGGAGGCTCGCGCGCGTCTCGTGCGTCGCCCAGCCCCGGACCGCGTGGGGCCGCTGGACGCAGAGCAGCGCCAGATCGCCCGCGGCGACGGGCACGACGACGGGCGCCGGGAGCCTCGCCCGCAGCTCGCGCTGGTCCGCCTCGTCGATGGACGTGAGCTTCGACAGCGTGTGCGCGTTCGCGTAAAACTCCCAGCGGCTCGAAAAGGCCAGGGGCCAGACCTCGAGGTCGCCGCCGCCGGCGGGCTGGCGAAGGTAGATGTTCGCGGAGAACTGGCCGCCCCCCGCGGAGAGCGGCGCGAGCGCGTCGACGTGGACGAAGCCGTCGGCCCAGCGCGTCGGCCCGGCCATGATGCGGCCGAGGCCGCAGTGGTGGGGCCGGCCGTCCGCGTCGCGGCGCGCGGTGCAGCCGGACGCCCACGCGTCGTCGAGCTCGCACCGCAGCGCGTCCACGGCGCTCGCGCCGCCGCCGGCCGCGGTCCGGAGGAACCGCTTCGCGGCGGCGACGTCCTCGGAAAAGTAGCGCTCCGTGTCGCCCGCGGCGACGGCCATGTTGTAGGGCGTGCCGCCGACGGCCGTCACGTCCGACGACTCGAGGCCGCGCGCGCTCGAGACGGACCAGTTCCGCGCCGTCGCGGCCGCGGCGACGAGCGCGTCGGCCAGCGGCGCCGGGTCTGCCACGAAGCCGGGCACGACGAGCGCCAGCGACTCGTGGCGGAAGAGGCGCTCCAGGGCGGCGGACGTGAGCGGCCCGCGCTCCACCGGCAGCGGCTTCACCAGCCGGTCGAGGCCGCCCCAGCGCCGCTCGACGTGGAGGAACATGTCGCGCATCGCCGCGTGCCGCGCGGCCTGCGACGCCATCGACGCGGCGCCGAGTCCGCGCTCGGCGGCCGTGTTCTTGCTCACGGCCGCGGCCTCGCTCTCGGCGGCGCTCTTGCTCTCGAAGAGCTTGCAAGCCACAAGCAGCCGTTGAAGGCTCGTTGGAGCAGTGGGCAATATGCATAACACGGGCGCTCTTGGGTCGCGCGCTGCGTCTTTCTTTGGTCTTCTTGGGTCTTGCGGGGGCCGTGGTCATTCCCCCGACGCGCGCCGCTCAGAGGAGCCAGCGCCGCGCCTTGGCCGCGGCGTAGGTCTCGGGCTCGTCGTTCTCGGCCCACTTGATCGTGAGCGTGTCGTCCGTGCCCGCGACGACGACGCCCGTCCACGGCGCCTTGCCGAGGCCCGCGAACTTGTGCTTCGCCGCGCGGCCGACGTCCTCGTGGTCGCCGCCGTCGCCGCCGTCGTCGTCGTCGTCGTCGAGGACGTCGGCGAGGGCGTCGGCGTAGCGCTCCTCGAACTTGTCGTAGAGCCAGGCCGCCGCCGCGTGGACGGGCTCCGTCGCCTCGACGTTGAAGGTCATCGCGTTGCGGAGCACGAGGCGCACGTCGGCCGCGAACGTCGCCGCGGCCCCGTACGCGCCCGCCGCGAGCTTGGCCTTGACCGTGCCAAAGTCCATGGGCGCGGCGACGATCGTCGGGTAGTGGTCGATGCCCATGCCCTCCGGGTCCACGGGCTCGAGGAACCACGCGGCCTGCTTCGTCCGCATGAGGTACTTGAGCACGTCGCCGCAGGCCGCGAGGCACGCGGCGCCGACGGCCGCCTCCGCCGCCGTCGGCGGCGCCTCGTCGGCGGCGCCGGGGGCCGCCTCGTCGACGGCCATGGCGTCGGGCGCCGCGGCCGGCGCGGCCGCCGGCGCGTCGTCGACGGCCATGGCGTCGGCGCCGGCGGCCGCCGCGGGCGCGTCCGCCACGTCCGCGTCCGCCGCGTCGCCCTCCGCCGACGCCGCCTCGTCGTCGTCGTCCTCGTCGGACGAGTCGTCGCCGGCGCCGGGCGGGCCCGGGGGCTTCGCCGCGGCCGCGGCGCCGAGGAACCGGGCCTCGAGGAAGTGCGCGGGCGCGGCGTCGTCGGCGACGGCGGGCGTCGGCAGGTAGCGCACGCCCTTCTTCGCGTCGACCTTGGCGGGCTCGACGCTCCGGAGCGTCTCGACGCCGAGCGCGAAGTCCTCGGCGCCGTCGCCGTCGGCGTCGACGACGGTGTCGCCGCTCTCGGACGCGAGGGCCGTGTCGCCGCCGACGGACGACGCGTCGTCGTCGGCGGGCGGCGCGACCTTGGCCCGCTTGCGCGCGCGCGCCGCGTCCTCCTCGACGTCGCCGAGGCGCACGTCCGAGTAGTCGACCTCGTCCGCGTAGGCGTCGGCCTCGAACTCGTCGCGCTCGATGGTCGCGACGTCGGCGGCGACGGCCGCGCGGAGGCTCGCGTCGGCCTCCGTGCAGACGCTGTCGTCGTCGTCGCCGTCGCCGGCCTCCGCGGCCTGCTTCGCGGCGGCGCGGCACCGCTTCGCCATCGTCGACGGCGCGGTGACGACGGCCGCGGGGCTCCGCGACGCCGCCGACGCGCGCGACGCCGTCGACGACCGGGGCACGCGCGCCACGGGCGGCTTGAAGGACCGCGACCCGGAGAGGAACGAGCTCGTCACGAGCTTGCGCGGCGGCTTGAGCCAAGGCTTCGACTGCTTCGGCTTCTCGCTGTTGTGCGACGACGCGCCTTTGAGCGTCATCGGGCAGGAGAACTTGCGCATGTAGGACATGGTGTGGCCGTCGTGTGTGGCCTGACTTGGGCCTGGACGCTCTGGGGCGCGCGGCGACGCGACGACGACGCCGGAGATGAGCACCGAGTCGCAGATCGTTCACGCTGATCTCGGGAAACGCCCGGGCTTGCGCCCGGGCGGCGTCCCGTCTCGTAGCAGGGCCCCAGGCGCTCCGATCGAGTCCATTGGAAGTCCTATTTGTCGGCGACGTTACCCACGTCTGCGAAATCCGGCGTGCAGCTTCTCGGACGCGCTCGGCACGATCCCATCGCGTCGAGAACCGCCGAACGCGGCCTACCCCCGGTCGATGCTTCTCGCCCTCGCGAGCTCCTGCTCAGGCATCGAGCTCGGCAGCGGCGACTCCGTGAACGCGAGCGCCAACAACGCGCCGTCACCGTCGCGCCGCCCGTCGCGTTCCGCGCCCACCCGCTCGCGCACGCCAGCGCCGCGCGAGCGCCGCGCCGCCGCGCCCGCCCGCTCGGCGCGATGTCGGCCATGGAGGTCGAGGAGCCGAAGCCCGTGCCGCACACGACGGACCACGACCACAAGCCCTGGTGGCAGGGCCCGCACCTCGACGAGACGACGGGCCTGCCGCTGCCCGTCGAGGAGGTGCACCCCGTCGCGCGCGCGCCCAAGGTCGAGAACCCCTTACTCGACGAGGACGAGATGGACCACTTCGTGCGCGACGGCATGAAGACCTACGAGGAGCTCAGGAAGATCCCCCTCGAGGAGCGCACCAAGTACAAGCACGGCGTGCCCGTCACGGAGAAGGACTGGCTCATGCGGCTCACGTACGGCGGCGCGTCCGTCGACGAGGAAACGCTCGAAGCGATCCGGGGCATGGACTTCCTCAAGGACAGGCTCCCGTCCGAGGTCAAGGACCAGGTGAGCCCCGAGGTCGAGGCCCACTTCGCGGAGCAGCGGCGCAAGCACTGGCAGCAGTGCTGTGACGACATCGACGAGCGCATGAAGGCCTGGGATTTGCTGGAGCAGGACCACGCGCGGATCCGCCGCGAGCGCGAGGGCATCGAGACGCCCTTCCCCGAGGGCGGCTCCTGGGACTGGGAGGTCTACCGCCGCGAGCGCTTCTACGAGAACGAGCGGCACCGCGAGGCGAAGGAGAAGGCCGAGGCCGCGGGCGAGCCCGCGCCGGAGCCCGAGCCCGCCGTCGCGTCGCCGATCCTGCCCGAGGACTTCCTCGCCGAGGAGCTCGAGAGCGGCGCCGTCACGGAGGACCAGGTCGAGTCCGAGCGCGACCTCGCGAAGCGCTGCGCGCGGCTCGACACCATGGCCATCATCCTCGACATCGAGGCCGCCGCGCACGCGGCCGCGGAGGCGGGCCGCGTCGCGGGCAAGGACCTGCCCTTCCCCTTCAGCGGCCGCGCCATGCCGGACGACTTCCCGCGGGACGCGTCCTTCCCCTACGACCCGACGGGCCAGCGGCCCGCGGGCTACTACAGCGACGACGAGCTCGACGCGTCGCCCGACGGGCCGCCCGACGGCCGGCCCGACGGCGACGGCGCGCCCGAGCCCAAGCCCGACTTCATGGGCGCGTCCGCGGGCGCCATCACGCGCGCCGTCGACACGACCATCGCGGAGCTCGAGCGCGCGCGCGAGCCCGACGCGGACGACGCGAAGAAGCCGTCGACGAAGCGTAAGAAGTAGAGAACTCCGCGTTACGCGACGCTCCGCCGGCCGTCGTAGCCCATCGCCGCGTGCACGTTCATCTGCCGCGCCTCGAGCTCCGGGTTCGCGGCGCACGCGGCCTCGGCGTCCGCCTGGGCCCGGTCGTAGGCGACGCGCTCGTCGACGTGGTAGCCCGTGCAGCACGGCTGAATCTTCCGGAACTCCTCGAACCTATCGAGCGCGTCGGTATCTTCGTTTTCCCACCCAAAAGCTCTCGAAAGTCGTCACGGCCGCAGGACGCTGCGCCGCGCTCCCAGTGCTTGCCGTTCTCCGGGCAGCAGCGCCAGAATTTTTCCATGCCGCCGAAGACGGGCAGCCCCGAATGATGCGGCACGCGTCCGGGCCGTTCTCCGTCTCCGGATCGTAGATGCGGCCGCAGCCCTTATTCGCGCACTTCGCCTTGCCATCGGGACGGTCTCTCGGGCGCGTCTTGGAGCGCGCGAAGTTGCCCGTGCCGCGCGCCAGCGACGCGGCGGCCGTGGGAGCCTCTCTGTTGTTTCTATTAAAGTCGGCGACGCTTCGCATAGCCGACATCGCGACGATGTCAGGCGGCGAACTCGATCGCGCGGGCCCCAAGTCGGCTGCTGCTAGGCACTCGACGACGATGCCAGGCGGCGGACTCGACGACGCGGGCGCGCGGCAGTCGAAAAAGAGTTCAATGACACAACTATGGTCGGCCTCCCGCTGATTTAAAACTAGTGCAACTTGCGGCGCGCGTATCCAGAAGCTGCCCAAGCAACCAGACTCTTCGCAAGCGGCCGCCGCCGAACATCGCGCGCGACGACAACCACGAGAGCGCGCTTTTCACGGCCGCGGCGCACGGCCGGCAGCGCATCGCGCGCGCGCTCCTCGACGCGGGCGCGGCCGCCGACGTCGGCGGCTACCGGACGCCCTTCCGCGTGGCCCTCTTCTACGGCCGCCGGAGCGTCCTCAAGGTCCTGCTCCGCGCCGGCTCCGACATCGAGACGCGCTTCGTCGACCGGGACGCGTCCAACGAGGACGCGTGGGCGCTCGTCGACGCGCTCGCGGGCGACTGGAGCGCGTACGCGCGCGCGTACCGGGCGGTCCGCGAGCGCTTCGTCGCCAAGTGCATCCAGCCGCGCCTCCCCGCCGCGCTCGCGCCCGACATCGCCGCCTTCGCGTCGCCGCCGGGCGGCTGGTGATCGCGGGTAACCGCGTTTTAGACGCCGCCAGCGCGGAGGACCCAGGCGCCGGCGCCGAGCGCGAGGCCCAGGACGAGGGCCGCGCGGCGCGCGCGGTAGAGCCGCTCGACGACGGCGAGGGCGTCGTGGACCGCGTCGGCGCTCGCGAGCCGGAGCGCCGCGCCCGCGAGCGACCGCGGCGCGTCGACCGCGTCCGCGAGCCGCGCGAGCGCCACGTTCGGGTCGTCGTGTCGCGGGAGCCAGGGCTTGAGCCGCCGGTACCAGACGGACTGGGCGGGCACGGCGAGCAGGAACGCGTCGAGGGCCCGGAGCTCGCGCGCGTCGGCGGCCTCGGCGGTCGTCCGCGCGCGCGCGTGGGCCCGGAGCGCGCGGCGCGCGAAGGGCGCCCAGCGCTCCGACGCGGCGACGCGGTGGCCGCCCGCGGCGCGGAGGCAGCGGCGGAGCGCGGATACCGTGCGCACGAAGAGCACGACCTCCTTCGGGCAGTTCGTCAGCGTCGGAAACGACGTCGGGTCGTGCTGGAGGAGGTAGAAGATGCGGTCGAAGAGTTTCGGGTCGAGGTCGACGCCCTCGGCGGACGTGTCGAAGAACTGGTACATGAACGCGGCGACGAAGTCCGGGTCGTCGTCCCTCGCCGCCGCGTTGAACGTGAAGCGCTTCGCGTTGCACTCGAGGTCCACGAGGCCCTCGCGCACCGCGCGCTTGTCCCGGAGGTTCAGCAGCAACACGACGCGCGCGAGGAACGCGCGCGTCGCGACGTCGAGCTCCGCCGCGAGGCCCCAGTCCAAGAGCGCCGGCGACCCGTCGGCCAGGATCATGACGTTGCCCGGGTGCCTACGTCGCGCGCGCGTGCCGGACGAAACTATCGAAGACGCCGGGGGACGCGCGGGTCCGCGTGGAAGAAGCCGTCGAGGAACATGGTCGCGCCGATCGCGTCGACGGCGCGGACGACGGCGCCGAGGCACGCGCGCGGCGCGACGCGGCTCACCTCGACGACGTCGTCGCCGGTCGACATCGGCGCCTCGTCGGCCTCCAAATCCGGGAGCGCCGCGACGGTGACGCCGTCGAGGAACTCGCAGGTGAGCACGTGCCGCGACGTGAGGCTTCCGACGGCCGTCGGCACGACGACGTCGCCGAAGCCCCGCGCGCCGAAGAGCGCCGCCGCCCGCTCCATGTTCCGGCATTCATTCCGCAAATCGAGCTCGAGGGGGAACGACTCCTCGAAGCAGTCGAGCACCGCGCGGAGGAGCTCGTACGCGCCCACGTCCAGGAGGTCGTTCGCGAACGTGGCCAGGTCCGACAGGTTCGCCGCGTCCAGCGGGAAGACCGCGGCCACCTCGCCGTAGAGCACCTTGACGGCGACGTCGTTGAAGAGGCCGCCGCGGCCGCCGCCCCGCGGCGCGCCCGCGACGACCGTCGCGCGGTGCACCTGGCCGACGGACGCCGCCGCGAGCGCGCCGCGCTCGAAGTTCTGGAACGACGCCATGTCGACGGCCTCGGCGATCCAGGGCTCGACCTCGGCCCAGGGCCGCGGCGCGACGCGCTCGTAGGCGAAGCCGAGCTCGCGGACCCACGGTGCCGGGATCGCGGCGCCCTGCGAGAGGAGGAATTGCGAGAACTTGATGTAGCCGCAGCCCAGCGCCTCGACCATGGCCGCGAGCCGCGGCGCCGCGCGCTCGTGGGCGCGCCGCAGCTCCGCGTCGCGCAGGGCGACGTAGGCGTCGCCCCGCCCGTGGCGCCGCCGCAGCGCCCTGCAGCGCCCGCCGGACCGGTAGTAGAGCGCGAGGATGGGCGCCGCGTGCCAGGCCTGGAGCGAACTCCGCGCGACGTTGAGGACGCTCGCGTCGACCCGGGTCTTCAGCGCCGCGTTGACGTGGCCGACGGAGCTCGCGTAGCCCTCCATGCTAGAGCGCCGGGAAGCCGCCGCCGCCGACGCGGATGGGCCCGCGCCGGACGAGGGGCTGCACGAACTGGAAGAAGCCGAAGATCACCAATGGGACGACGAGGAAGCTCCACCAGCAGCAGGGCTGCGGCGGCGGCGTCCGGGGCGCCTTTGACGTATCGTCCGGGCTGCCCATCAGAAGCTCATCGTCGGTGCACCAAAGCAGCACCGCGTCAACGTTTGCCGCATCACTGATGCCATCAGTTTTGCACGCAGGCTGCCCCGCCCTGAAACGATGGCCGTCGGGCAGAGCGGCGGGGGGAGCGTCGGGGGCCCGAGCGTGGGCTTCGAGCTGTCCCAGGACAGCGTGACGTCGCCGCGGCCCGCCGACGGCATCCCGACGCTCGAGGAGTTGTTGGGCCTGCCGCCCGTGGACGTCGCGGCGCCCGAGGGCGCCCTGAAGCTCGAGGACCTCTGCGAGCGCTGCAGCGCGGCGCAGCTGACGTCGAGCTTCGCCAAGTCGAGCGTCAAGTTCCTCATGGACCCCGAGGCCTACCGGGCGGCCTGGGGCGGCTACTGCCGGTGGCTGCGGCACGCGATGTCGCGCGGCGGCGGCGCCGCGGCCGTGCAGCTCGGGAACCTGGGCTTCATGAGCCACCGCGTCTACACCATGGGCATCCGCATCCCCGTGTTCACGCTCTCGGAGAAGTTCAAGCGGCGCCACCGGCTCACGCAGCGCTCCTTCCTCGAGTCCGCGAAGCTCGCGGGCGACGCGCGCCACGCGCAGTGCCCGGCTGTGTGGAAATCAAATCTTCAACCCGACTTCAATGTGCGCGTATGCGACTGTTTCGACGCGATGTTTTCTGCTGTGCTTCGAGAACTCGACGAGAGCAATCGATTCGTCCAAAAATCAGCCAAATCGACTTCGATTTGACCGAGCTAGAGATTTCTGAAGTTTGGCCCCGACGTCCCAGCTCACTGGTTGATTTCCACACAGGTGCCCGGCGGAGCTGCTCGGCGAGTCGACGGGCCTCGACCCGGAGTGCGCCGCGTTCTGCGTCGAGTCGCTGCACCGGTGCATCGGCGAGCTCGCGGGCCAGGGCGCGCCCCTCGACGTCCACTTCGGCGTGGGGAGCCTCCGGGTCTGCGACCGCGTCGCGCGGTTCGCGTTCACGCAGTCGAGCGTCGAGCAGCCGGCGGCGCGGTCCCGCGCGGAGCGCGACTCCGTCTACGGCGAGGGCCGCACGGTCCACGGCGGCGGCTCCGTGGCGACCGCGACGACGAAGGGCCTCGGCGGCGCGTCCGTCTACACGGGCGTGACCGCGCCCTCGACGACGTCGCCGCGGCGGCCCCCGGGCCAGCCGTCCCGGGGGAGCCCGCGGCCGGGCAAGCACGCGCCGTCGGCCCTCGGCGGCAACGAGCAGCTCGGCCGCTACCTGCCCCTGGAGAAGACGGAGGTGCCGCCGCCGCCGCCGCCGGGCGCGGCGCCGCCGGCGGACGACGCGGACGCGAAGGCCTACGACCGCTTCGTGCGCACATTCGAGAGCCGCCGCGAGGCGTCGAACTTCTCGGGCATCGAGGACCGCCTCGCCGCCGAGGCCTTCGCCGCGGCGCTCAAGAACGGCGTCGAGGCGCCGGACCTGAAATGCGCGCCGCTGCTGGACGCGCACGCGCGGCTCCGGGCCGCGACGTACGCCGTCGACGCGGACGAGCTCGGCTCCGCGTCCGCGCGCGTGGGCCACTTCTACGCCGTCGCGGAGCGCGAGCGCGAGCGCCTGGATCTCCTGGCCAACGAGGCGTCCGAGGGCGCCCAGGCGCGCGCGGCGGCCGCGGGCGCCGCGCGGCCGTCGTCCCGCGAGGGCCCGTCCATCGCGCTGTCGCCGCGGGCCCAGGCCGCGGAGCGCGAGGCGCTGCGGCAGGCCGAGCTCGAGCAGCAGGCCGCGCGGAAGCCCTTCCCCGAGCGCGAGCCCGAGGACGACGCGCCGCCCTACCCGGAGGCCGACGCCGCGCGCTACGGCCACTACCTCGCGCGCGGCGTGCCCGACCACCTCGTCGAGCCCATCGACGACGGCACGATCGCCCGCATCTTCGAGCGCGTCCGGCCCCGCGTGCCGGCGAGCGTCGTCTTCCCCTGGCCGGGGGACGTCGACGAACTCGCGGACGGCGGCGCCGCGGCCGCGTCGCGGCCGGCGACGGCCGCGTCCGGCGGCGCCGGGGGCGACGACGAGGACTTCGAGGACGAGTACGAGCTCGACGACGAGGAGCTCGCGGCGCGCCAGGCGTCCGCGGACCGGGCCTGCATCGAGCGCGTGCTCGCGGCGGCCCGGGACCGCTTCGCGGCGTCGATCCGAAAGGCGACGCTCGACTACGTGCTCCTGTCGCCGCACGAGCGCGACCGGCTGGGCCTGCGCCTGGGCCCGCCGCCGGAGCTCGTGCTCCACGAGCTCGAGCTCGACTACGGCCACGCGACGCCCCGCGCGGGCCGGGGCCGGAAGGCGCCCGCGCCCGGCGACGACGCGACGCCCGCGCGGTGGCGCGCGTCCTGCCGGCAGGTCAAGGAGGCCCTGAGCCACCGGCTGCTGATCACGTCGCCGCCCTTCATCGAGTGCCACCGCGTCTGGCAGACCTACGAGCATCTGCTGCTGGTCAAGCTCCCGTCGACGGACGACGTCGTCGAGCACGGGCCCAAGGGCGTGCCCTGGCGGCCGCAGCCCGTCGCGGACTTCGAGCGCGACCAGCTCGACTGTCTCGAGGCGACGGCGGCGACGCTCAAGACCACCTGGCACCCGACGCTCGCCAACGCCTTCTTCGAGGGCATCGAGTCGGGCAAGCTGCGCGTCGGCGGCCGGGGCAACGTCGACGCGCGCGCGTACTTCAACGTCGCCGCGCTCATCATGGGCAGCCAGCTCAACCAGATCGTGCGGCGGTCCGTGGCGACGCTGCTGGCCTACCTGGAGGCCTTCGCGACGGACCGGGGCGACGGCGTCTGCGCGCTGCCGCCCGCGTTCCTGCTGGCGCCGTCGCTCGTCGACGGCGCGGGCGAGCCGGGCGTGTGCCTCGTCGCCGAGGCCGAGCACCTGGCCGCGGCGGTGCTGCGCGTCTTCGAGCGCACCGTGGGCGCGTTCGGCGATCTGGAGCGCATCGAGGTCTGGCGGCGGCGCACGATGGAGGCGAACCGGCGCACGAAGGCGTCGGACGGCGCGCTGTCCGCGCTGTCGGCCGCGCCGGGCGCGCCGCCGCCCAAGTCCACGGTCTCCTCGAACCGCGGCGGCTCCGGGGCCGCGAGCGCCGACGGCGCGGGCGACGCCGGCGCGTCGGCCGCGAGCTCCGCGGCGCGGTCGTCGCGCGCGTCCGCGTTCCCGTCCTACGCGCGCGACGACGACCGGGCGTCGCGGGGCGAGGAGCCCGCGGGGCCGCGGCTGATCGCGGTCATGACCGGCGACGAGGCCTGGGTGACGACGGCGCGGGATCGAATTATAGCCATCGTCGACGCGAACCTGGCCAAGGCCAAGGCGAACCTGCTGCTCTACCGGCCCTTTGAATTTTTGCTGCGGCCGACGTTCGTGCCGGAGCTCGACAACCCGTACGAGGAGGAGGACGCGGGCCTGCCCGAGTTCAGCCAGGTCGCGGAGACGGCGCTGAAGACCAAGCGGTCGCGCCCGAGCAACGCCGACGAGAAGCTCGAGCGGAGCGGCCGGGGCGTCGAGGACGAGCTCGCGGACCTCGAGCGTCGGGTCCGCGAGCATCGCGACGCGGCGGCGGACGTCGCGGAGACGGCGAAGCACTTCGACCGCGTGCCGTTCGTGGAGCTGGACGTGGAGAAGCTGCATAACGCGCTCGTGGACCAGGCGCTCGCGGCGGCGAAGCGGCTGCTCGAGGGCGTCGCGACGTCGGTGCAGCGCGACGTCCGGTCGCTGACGAAGCGAGTGAGGGTGACCGTGCTCTGGCTCCAGCAGCGGCCGTCGACCGTCGACGAATTGGTCGTGGCGCAGCACAACCTGGATCACGCCCGCGACTACGACCTGCGGGACTTCCGCGCGAACTTCCGCGACGTGAAGCGCAAGGTCGACTTCCTCTGCGCGCAGAACGGGCTCACGCTCGCCGTCCTCGAGGCCGCGCGGACGAGCCACGCGGCGACGCGCGAGGTCGCGGACCAGGTCGACGCGGGCGCGACGGAGCTCGCCAAGGAGCGCGACGCGCTCGAGGCCGATTTAGGGAAGCGCGGCGAGCAGATCAAGCTCCAGCTCGCGACGGTCGCGGCGTCCGTGCTCTCCTTCTCCGACAAGGGCAACCCGAAATTGATCCGCGAGTACATCGACCAGCTCACGGAGGTGCGCACGGCGCTGACGACGGAGGCGGAGGGCATCGAGGCCTACAACGCCGAGGAGGCGAAGCTGGGGCTGGCCGCGCGGACGTCGTTCCCGGAGCTGGAGACGATCTCGCGCGAGCTCATGCCCTACGAGCGCCTCTGGCAGACGGCGCTGCGCTTCCATCTGTCCTACAGCTCCTGGGTCAAGGGGCCCATCCGCGCCCTCGACGGCGAGCAGACGGCGAGGGACCACGCGGAGATGGTCGAGACCATCGGCGAGCTCACGGAGCGGCTGGGCGCGCTCGGCGCGCAGGAGCCGGCCAAGTTCGCCCAGTCCATCTACACGCAGCTCGAGCGCTTCGCGCCGAACGTGCCCATCGTCCGCGCGCTCTCGTCCAAGTTCCTCCGCGAGCAGCACTGGCGCGAGATCTCCCAGGTCGTCGGCTTCCAGTTGAGCGCCGAGAACATCACGAACCTCACGAACCTCCTCGAGCTCTCCGAGAACCGCCCGGACAAGGCGTCGCGCCTCGAGGAGATCGCCAAGCGCGCGGAGAAGGAGGGGTCCTCCGCCGTCGCGGGCCTCAACGCGTCCGCCATGATCCATACGCGCGGCGCAGAAGGCGGCGGCGACCGCCGCCGCGGCGCGCCGCCGGCCGCCGTCCAGGCCAACCTCAACGACGACGACAACTCCTCCTCGGGCGCGACCTAGCGCGGCGGGGGGCTTCAGATGTCAAAATCGGCGTTAGCCGCGCGGCGGGGGCGGATCCACGACCGCGCCCCGCGGGAGCAGGTCGTCCTCGTCGTTGAGGGGGATGTAGCCCACCGAGGGCGCCGCGGGCTCGCGGCGACGACGGCAGCGCCGCGCGGCGAGCTCGAGGAGCCGAACGGCGACGAGCCCCGCGACGGCCGCGGCGAACGCGCGGTACATGAAGCGCGCGCCTTTCACGTGCCTGCGAAGGAGCGCGTCGGGACGTTCGCGCTCGCAAGGGATGCCTCGGCGCGCGAAAGAACGCCTCCGACGACTGTTTAATGAAGTTGATCACCATGCTTGATGGTATGAAAGAGAGTTAATGGATGTTCTTCATCGGCTCTCGCGCTTTGGACAAAAGAGGGGACGCCGAGTTCGCGCCACACGTAGCCGCCGAGGAGCGCGCCGCAGCCGGGCCCGAGCGAGTAGTACGTCGTCTGCAGCGCCGTCTGCAGGGACGCGCCCCAGCCGTCCGGGGCCAGGAGCCGCGCGCGCTCCACGGCCGCGACCCAGAGCGTCGCGAAGCAGAACCCGTGGAGCGTCTCGAGCGCGAGGATCCAGTACCGCGTGTCCTCGCGGAGGAACGTGTAGCCGGCGACGCGCGTGCAGTAGCACAGCTGGGACACCATCATCAGTCGGTCGTGGCCGAGCCTCTCGAGCAGGTAGCCCGCGTTCTGGAAGACGGGAATGTTGCACATGGACGACACGAAGACGACGAGGCCGCAGAGCGTCGTGTCTCCTCCGAGGTCGTCGATGACGTAGAGGAAGAGGAGGCGCTCGACGACGCCGATGGCCATGCCGAAGACGAAGATCTCCAGGAGGAAGAAAATGAGGGGTGCGGACGTGACGACCCTCCAGAGCGCCGCGCCCGACGGCTTCGCGGCCGCGGCGCGCCGCGCGTCGTTCGGCACCGCCGCCGCGAGCGCGACGACGAGCGCGAGGTTGCAGGCGCCGTAGACGGCGAAATTCGGCCCGAAGCCGCAGTTCGTGTTCACGTAGCCCATGAGCAGCGCGCCGCCGCCCCAGCCCAGGGACCCCCAGAGCCGGAGCCGCCCGTAGGCGCTCGCGGCGCGGCCGCCGACGCGGTCGAGCGCGTAGGCGTCGAGGATGCCCCCCGACGAGAAGAGCTTCATGAAGAGCGACACCGCGAAGATGCGGGCGAAGTCGCGGCGCACGAGCCGCTTCCACGCGAGCAGGAGCAGCGCGCCCGTGCCGAGCGTCGTCGTCGCCAGGTAGACGCGCTTCGGCGCGCCGTAGACGTCCGCGACGCCGGCCCAGCACGTCGACGCGGCGACGCCGACCAGGGGCATCAGGCCCTCGATCGCGCCGATCTGCACCGTGCTCAGGCCCTGGTCGTGGTAAAACACCTGCCCGAAGCGGCCCCAGGACGACGTCGACAGCGACGCGAGCAGGAACAGGAGGCGGAGCAGGCAGAGCGGGGCCTTGTTTCGCGGCTCCGCGGGCGGCTCGGGCTGCTCGTCCATCGCCTTCCCAAGGCTGCCCGGGCGCAGCTAGGGCGCGGCCATCGACGCAGCAGGCTTGAGCGGTTGAAGCTAACGTTGCCTCTTCCGGAGGCAAGCGATGTTGGGCTTGCTGATGTTCCTCGGCGCCGCACGCCGCTGCCGCGGCTTCGGCCTCGTGGCGCGGCGCGTCGCGCCCTGGCGGCAGCAGACGCGGCTCTTCGCCGAGGACGACGCCCTCGAGGGCCGCCTCATCAACGACGGCAGCGACGGCGACGGCCTGCGCGTCATCGACGTCGGCGACCACTACTTCGACGGCAAGTACGACGACGACGAGGGCGCCGTCGACGACATGGAGGCGCGCCTCGCCGCCGCCGCGGCGAACGCGGCGTCGGGCAACTTCGCGGGCGGGAACGCGCTCGCGGGCGCGCCTCGCTTCGAGTACGACGACGACGACGGCGGGGACCGCGCGCCGTTCTTCGCCATCGAGGTCGGGGCGGGCTGCTGCCCCGGCTGCGGCGCGACGTTCCAGTGCGACGACGAGACCCGGAGCGGCTACGTGCCGCGGAGCGTCTACGAGCGGCTCGACGTCGCGGCGGCCGCCGCCGACGACGACGACAGCCCCGAGCAGGAGGTCGAGGCGCTGCTCTCGGCGGCGCGCCTCGAGCGCGACGGGGGCGCCGTCGCTCCGGAAGACGACGACGACGACGACGACGACCTCGACGACCTGTCGCTCGAGGAGCTCGACGCGCTCGCGCTCGACGACGACTGGGACGACGACGACGACGACGAGGAGGCGCTCGCCGCGGCGCGGCGGCTGGCGAAGAAGGAGGCCAAGGTCGCGCGGAACAAGGACGTGATCTGCTCGCGGTGCCACGGCCTGCGGCACGCGAGCGGCAAGGCCAAGGAGGCCGCGGCGCTCCGCGCGGGCGCTGGCGCGGACGACGACGCGCTCACGCCCGAGGCCTTCGAGGAGCTGCTGCGGCGCGAGGTGCGGACGGCCCGGGGCGTCGTCATCCTCTTCGTGGACCTCTTCGACGTCGAGGGGTCGCTGCGGTGCTGGAGCAGCATGGGCAGCCTCGTGGGCCCGCGGCGCCGCGTGCTCCTCGCGGCGAACAAGTTCGACCTGTTGCCCGAGGACTGCTCGCGCGCGCGCGTGCGCGACTGGGTCTTCGACAAGGCGCGGGCGACCGTGCCCTTCCTGAGGGACAACCTCCGCGGCGACGACGTGCGGCTCGTGAGCTGCCGCACGGGCAGCGGCGTCGGCGGCTTGCTCGAGGACGCGCGCGACGAGGCCGCGCGGCGCGGCGGCGACGTCTACGTCTGCGGAGCCGCGAACTGCGGCAAGTCGTCCTTCATCAACCGCGCCGTCGGCGCCTTCAACGGCGGCTTCGGCAAGGGCGGCCAGAAGTTCAAGGGCGCCAAGGCGTGGGGCGTGACCGCGTCGCCGACGCCGGGGACGACGCTCGGCGTCGTGAAGGTCGCGCTCCGCGACGCCGGGCCCGACGTCTACGACACGCCGGGTCTGCTGTCGCCCCACGCGCTCGGCGCGAAGCTCACGGAGGACGAGTTGAAAGCAGTACTGCCGAGCTCGGAGAAGCTCAAGCCCGTCGCGCTGCGCGTGAACCCGGGCAAGGCCGTGCTCCTCGGGGCTTTGGCGCGCGTCGAGCTTTTGGAGTCGGAGCGCGGCGCGTTCTTCTTCACGTTCTTCACGGCGCCGGGCCTCACGCTGCACCCGACGGACCCGAAGCGCGCGGACCGCGCGTACCTCGAGCAGCACGCGGGCGGGCTGCTGTCGCCGCCCTTCGACGCGAGCCGCCTCGACGAGCTCGGCGACCTCGAGCGCCACGAGTTCACGATTCGCGGCGCGGGCTTCGAGCGCGCGGCGGCGGACGTGACGCTCGCGGGGCTCGGCTGGTTCACGGTCACGGGCAGCGGCGACTGCCGCATCGCCGTGTCCGCGCCGAGGGGGGTGCTCGTGGACCTCCGGGACCCGCTCCTCCCCTTCGAGAAGCTCAAGGCCGCGACGGCCAAGTTCACGGGCGGCCGCGTCGTCCAGAAGAAGGGCCCGGGCAAGAAGAACAAACGACCGCCGGGCAAGAAGAAGACCCAGGCGCGGCGCTAGCCCCGGGGTGTCTTATTCGTTCTCGATTCGTACTCAAGTTCGTACTCGCGGGATCTCGGTCCCGAGCGGGGCGGCGCACGGCATTAGTGCGCCGATCCGTCTCGTTGAACCCTGTGGACGCGACGCTCTGAGGGACGCAATTGCTGCTGGTTCCGACCGCCGCGCCCCACAACAACGCTCCGCCCGCAGCGCTCCGCGCCGCTCCGCCGCCGCCGTCTCGTCGACGCCGCATGCCCGACCCGCGCAACTTCCACAACCCCATCGAGTTCGCCCAGGTGGCCATGATCGAGAGCGTCGACGGCTTCGTGCTCGGCAAGAAGCGGCGCGCGCTGAGCAGCGCCTGCATCTTCTTCCACGGGTTGGGCCTGCTGTGCGTCGGCGGCTACTACGTGGCCCAGCCCACGGAGAGCCTCGAGATCATCGCGGACGCGTGGGGCGTCGCGACGTCGTCGGGCAAGAAGGGCTGCAGCGACGCGCCCTACGTCCTCGCTAGGAACCTCGTCATGGTCGCCGCGGTCTACCTCGCCGTCTGGGGCGCGACGTGCATGGTGCTGGCGACGGCGGCGCTGCCGCGGACGAAGAAGATGATCGCGGGGCTGAATCTGGTCGCGGCGCTCGCGGTCGCCGCGTGCTCGTCGTTCCACCCGCAGGCCGTCGCGTCCACGGCCTGCCTCGCGGACTTCGACGCGGGCGTCGCCTGCTTCAAGGTCGCCGGCACCTGGCACCTGCCCTTCGTCGCGCTCGACGTCCTGGGAATCCTCTTCGCGGAGGCCGGCCCGAAGCTCATCCGCATCAACGACACGACGTCCGTCCTCATCAACGGCCAGATCTCCGAGGAGGTCCGCAACACGCGCATCACGAAGCTCAACTCCCACACGGACCTCATCAAGTACGCCGACTCCGAGGTCGCCGCGAAGAAGGGGCTCTAGAGCCTCGACGCACCGCGCGCGCGGCGGCCTCGTAACGCGACCTCGCCCCGGTGTTGTGTCGCTTTGTTGCGGCAGGCCGGCGCGCCGGCGCCGTGGGAGGGCTGGCAGCGGACGCGCGCGGAGCTCGAGCCCCGGCCGAGGCGGCAGGCTCGGCATTCGGCTTCGGCATGAACTGGGTCCACTCAGGCTAGAGCTGGTTGCTGCGGCACCCGCGATCACGCGGCGCGGCGACGCGTCGTCTACGCCGTCGGCGGCTCGAGCGACTTCGTCGACCAGGAGGTGCTGACGCGACGACAACCGCAACGACGACCATGGACCTGTCGCTAGTAGAACAATCCCGCGAGTCCTTCGAGGCCATGCTCATGGGCAAGCGCTGCCGGTCGCCCCTCGAGGTCGCCGCCGTCGACGGCGCCGACGTCGACGGCGCCTACTGCGTGGACCGCGACGCGCTGCGGGCGCCCATGCTGCTGCGCGGCGGCGCGGCGGCGTGCGGCATGCGGCTGCCCGGCGGCGAAAACTTCGGCGTCGACGACGTCGCGCTGCTCGTCGGGCCGGAGGCGACGGTGCCCGTCATCGACGTCGCGGAGCAGGAGCAGCAGGGCCGCGACTGGACGCTGGGCGAGTGGGCGTCGTACTTCGCGCGGAAGGAGGCCGGCGCGCACAAGGTGCTGAACGTGCTGTCGCTCGAGATCGGCGGCACGCGGCTCGGCGACGCCGTCGCCGCGCCGCGCTTCGTCCGCGACCTCGACTGGATCGACTGCACGCCGGCGGACGAGCGGCCCAAGGTCCAAAAGTACTGCCTCATGTCCGCCGGCGGGTCCTTCACGGACTGGCACGTCGACATGGGCGGGTCGTCCGTCTGGTACCACGTCGTCTCCGGCGAGAAGCGGTTCTGGTGTGCCGCGCCGACGGAGGAGAACTTGACCGCGTACGCGCGGTGGATCTCGTCGCGGGACCAGAGCGCGACGTGGTTCGGCGACTGCGTCGGCGCGGACCAGGTGGCCTACTTCGCCCTGGGGCCGGGCATGACGCTGAGCCTCCCGTCGGGCTGGCTCCACGCGGTCTACACGCCCGAGGATTCTTTAGTGTTCGGGGGCAACTACCTCCACACGCTCGCGGCGCGGACCCAGTTCGCGATCTTCGACGTGGAGAAGGCCTGCCGCGTCGACAAGGAGTGCCGCTTCCCGCGCTGGCTCGAGACGACGGCCGCGGGCGCCGCGCGCGAGGCGCTTCGACCCGCGGCCGCGCCCGCCGTCGCGGCCGCGCGGCAAGCGCTCGCGGCGACGCTCAAAGCCTGGTGCGCGGGGGACCCGGCGCCGACGCACCGGGCGACGAGGTTGACCGACGGGGAGGCGGCGGTGCTGCGGGCGAGCCTCGACGCGGCCGCGGCGCGCGTCGGCGCGCGCGACGCCGGAGAGCTCCTCGACGCCGTCGCCGGCGCCGCGACGCTCGCGCGGGCCCACCCGCCGTCGCCGATACGGCGCACGCTGCCCGTGACGGGCACGCCGCCGGCGGCCGTCGCCCTCGTCGACGCCGAGGAGCGCGCGCGGTTTCTGCGGGGGCGGCGCGACGTCCGCCGGTCCGCGCTCATCGGCCACGACGGCGCGGCGCTCGAGGAGTCCGAGGGCGACGACTCCGAGGACGAGTGGACGGGCAACGACGCGCCGCGGGGCCCGCCGCGCGGCCGCGCGAAGCGGAGCCTGTACGACGACGACGACAGCGACGCGTCGTCCGACGGCGACGGCGGTTTGGTCGACGACGGCAACCTCGGCGCGTTGAAGGCCAAGTACGGCGTCTCCAAGGACCGGCGCGACACGATCAAGGAGAAGGCGGCGCCGATCCCCGGCGCGGCGCCGAAGAAGAAGAAGGCGCGCCGCGCGGCCGTCGACCGCCTCGCGCGGCGCCGAGATCCGCGGCTCGCGGCCGAAGACGCGCGCGAGCGCGGCGGCCAGGCCTGCGAGGACCGCAAGAAGGCGACGGAGGAGGCCTACTTCCAGAAGGCGCGGGACCGCGCCCAGGCCCTGTCGCTCGTCGACGCGGCGCTCGAGGCCTTCGACGCGGCCAAGTGGCTCGACGCCGCGCGCTGCGCGTCCGACCCGGCGCGCCTCGCCGCGCTCGACGGCGCGGCGCTCCGCGCGACGCTGGCCTGCTGGGCGGCGCAGCACGACGGCGCGCCGCGGGGCGCCGACTGGGCGCCGCCGCCCCTCGACCGGCGCCTCGACGGGCCCCAGCGCGCCGCGTCCGCGCAGGCGGCCGCGTTGGCCTGCGAAATGGCGCGCGTGCCGACCGTCGCGGCGCTCCTCGCCAAGCTCGAGCCGCCGGCGCCGCCGCCCGCCGCCGCGGCGCCGCCGCCGCGGGCCCAGAAGCGGCCGAGGGTCGCCGCCGCGCCGGCGGCGGCGCCGCCGCCGGCCGCGCCCGAGCCCGCCGCGCCGCCCGCGCCCGCCGCCAAGGTCGACTGGCGCGACGCGCTCAAGGCCAAGCTCGCGAAGAAGCCCGCGGCGCCGCCACCGCCGCCCGCGTCGACGGACGACATGCTGCGCGCCGCCAAGGCCGCCACGGCCGCGGACGTCGTCGTCGACTTCTCGCGTCCGGACTACGACGCGCTGCCCGACCGCGTCCACGCCGCCGTCGCCGCCGTCGCGGACCCGGCGCTCGCGTCGAAGATCACGGGCATGTTCGTCGACGGCTACAACGCGCCCTACCTCGAAAATCTCCTCGGCGACGCGGCCGCGCTCCGGGCCGCCGTCGACGAGGCGCTCGCCGTGCTGCGGAGCGCGGGCCAGCTCCCCGCGGCGCCCGTCGCGCTCTGCGTGCCCAGCAGCCGCGACCCGAACGCGCGGACGGTCGTCGCTCATTTAGAGGCGCCGTCGGCCTTCCCGGAGGTCGTCGTGACGGCCTACGAGAAGAACCTGGACGCGCTCGCGGCGCTCGAGCCCGTGGCGCTGCCCGTCGTCGGCGGCGGGACCGAGCTCGCGGGCTTCCTCAACTATCTGGCGACCCAGGCCAAGGCCGCGGTCTGCCGCTTGGACGACGCGACGAAGGCCTTCATCGAGCCCCAGTCCATCGACGCGTCGGACCCCGTCCTCTACGTGCGGCCCTTCCACGCGCCGCGCCGGCCGCCGCCGTAACTTACTCCTCGCCGCCGTAAATTAGGCCAGCTTCGCCGCCGTAACTTAGTCCAGCTTCGCCGCGTCCTTGGCGCGCGAGACGGCGTAGAGGATCGTCGCCGCGGCGAGGAACGCGTGCAGGGCGAGCCAGGCGTGCGTGCCCTCGTCCATGGCCGCGCCGCAGAGCGTGTACCACTCGCGGCCGTCCGCCGGCGGCGTCTCGCCGTCGCAGACGCGGAAGTTGTGCTCCTCGGGCCGCACGTCTCGCGGGCAGAGGCCCGCCTCGCGGACGAAGAGGCTCCAGAAGCTCGTCTCCGTCCCGGAGTTGCACATGAGAAATTGGCCGAAGCCCGTACGCCGCACTTGCGCCGGGTCGCACGACGACGACAGCGCCAGAACGACGCCGAGCCAGGACAGGGCCAGGGCGCCGTTCCGATGGCGGTCCGCCGCGAAGCCCGCGACGACGACGCTCTGGTCCAGCGACGCCGGCGCCTTGGACCGCCTCGCCTTCTTCGCGGGCGGCGGCGCCGCGCGGCGGCGGCCGCGCCAGACGCACAGCGCGCACGCGCCGCGGAAAACGTGCAGCGCCCAGTAGCCGCTGACGCCGTTGAAATACCTTGAATTGGGTAGTAAACACGAATTGGGTACACCTTGGGTGGACGCCGTTGAATACATTGGGTAGTAAAACACGAGAAAGGGCACGTTGATAAGGACCAGGTAGGCGACGACGGCGCACGCAAAGGACCGGAGCAGCACCGCGCCGTGGCCGACGCGGTCGTCGGGCGCGAAGGCGCGCACGGCCAGCGGGATGGACCAAGCCGTCGCCGTCATCCAGAACGGGTGCGCCGCCGGGTCGCCGAACCAGCGGTCGTCGAAGAGGCGCTCGTCGACGTGGAAGACCCACCAGAGGTGCTTGTTGCCGAGGATGCCGAACGTTTGGTACAGGAAGCCGCCGATCAACGCCGCGAGCCCCGCTTCGCCGAGCGCGTCGAGGTCGCAGGCCATCGCCAGCGCCGTCGGCAGGTAGCCCATGAAGACGTACATGCCCCAGACGCAGTAGAACGGGAAGCGCCCGCCGAGCACCATGGCCACGGCCTGCGACTCCCAGAAGCAGCCGATCTCGCTCTCGAGGCCGGTGAGGATCTCGATGAGATTGCCGCCGAAGACGACGGTCCAGAACAGCAACCGGTTCCTCGGCGCGTCGTTCTGCCGGTGGGCGAGCCAGGCGGCCGTCGCGGCGATTATGAAGAAGAATTCCTGCGCGACGAACGACGGGTGGTCGGCCCAGAGCTTCGTCGGGTCGTTGATCGTCACGGGCGGCCACAGGCCCTCGAGCTTGAGCACCATCGGCACGCGCTTCTACGTGACGAGCTTGAACACCATGTGCGCGCGCGCGCGGGCTGCCCGAGTTGCAGAGAAACATTACCTCGGCGGTCTCGCCCCGCACATGCCACGAGCCCCGAGGGCCCCGCGGACGCGCTGCGACTCCTCCTTGAGCCGCATCCAGAGGTCGTGGACGTTGCGCGCCTCGGCCGTGACGCGCTCCATGACGGCGTCGCGGTCGCCGCCGGCGTCGAGGCGGTCGCCGAACTGCTGGGTCCACTTGTCCGGGTGCCAGCAGAGTACCGCCTCGCGCACGGCGCGCTTCTTCTCGTCGAAGGGCGCGTCGTCGCTCACGCCGAGGTCCGAGAGCTCGACCCGCGCGCCGAACGCGCAGGGCCAGGGCACGGAGCCGAGCGTGATGGGCGCCTCGGCCGCCGCGAACGCGACCCAGCGCGCGTTCCGCGGCGGGTTCCGCCGGCGCTTCGGCGACGGCTTGCGCTCGCCGCGGCGCTCGGCCTCGGACGCCTCGCGGCGCACGCGCGCGGCCTCGATGACGGCGTTGACGTCGTCGTCGTCGCTCTCGGACTCGGGCGCGGCGCCGCCCGAGCCGACGCCCTCGTACTCGAAGCGCGACCGCCGCGGCGTGGCCCGCGGCGACCCGAAGGGCACGCCGAAGAGGTCCGGGTCCAGGCCGCGCTGGCCGTGGGCGCGCCGGTGCGCCGCCGTCTCCGCGCGCCACTCGCGGAACATGCCGTCGTCGAACTCGCAGTTCAGGTCGTCCTCGTACATTTCCTTGAGGCGCCGGTCCGTCTCGGCGGCGATGCGCTTCTGGATCGCGGCGATCTCTGCCTTGGCCTTGGACCGCCGCACGTCGTGGCGCGTGTTGCCCGTCGCCGCGGAGAGGCGGCTCGACCGCGGCGACCCGGACGTGCTCGGCCGCGGGCTGCCCAGCCCGCCGAAATTGAGCTGCTCGCGGAAGTAGCGCCGCGACCCGGGACCACCGCCGGGCTTGTTGAAGCGCAGGCCGCCGGCCAGGCCCGGGGCCGCCGCGGAGCCCGGCCTTCGACGGGCGGGCATAATGATTGTACACACAGATCGCCTTCCAATCCTGGATCCGTTATATTTCGTGGGGAAACATCGCGGGAAACATCGCCGGGTTGAACTCAGAGAGCGACAGCAAAAACTTGCAGCCTATGAGCTCGTGCAGCCCCTGAAGAATCGCTTCTTCAAAAAGGACCATGTCGGTCGAAACGCAGCGCTGGCGCCGCGCCCGGGGCCACCTCGCCATGCTCACGGTGTCGACGATCTTCAGCGTCTGGAACGTGCTGGCCGAGCGGCTCATGGGCCGCTGCGGCGGCGGCTTCCGCTGCCCCATGATGCTCGCGGCCTACCGCGAGATCGGCGCGACGCCCATCATGCTCGTCGCCTGCGGCGCCGCCCACGGCCTGCGGCCGCGGCTCTCGCCGCACCGCCCGGACACCGCGTGCTGGTTCCTCGCGGGCGCGTGCCTCTGGGCGACGCAGCTGTTCTATATTTTGGGCGTGAACCTGACGTCCGCGGACGTCGCGGCGCTCTACCAGCCGCTGTCGCAGGTCGCGACGACGGCGCTCGCCTTCGTCTTCGGCGTCGAATCCTACCGGGGCCGGTCCCGGCGGCGCAACGCCGCGAAGCTCGGCGGCGTCGCGCTCGGCTTCTGCGGCGGCGCGGCCATCGCCGCGCCCCACCTCAGGGTGCTCGCGCAAGGCCACGTCGAGGGCGGCGCCCTGGGCCACCTGGCCCTCCTCGTCGGCACGCTCGCCGCGGGCGCGTACAACGTCGCGCAGCCCCCTTTGCTCGAGCGGAACCCGCCGCTCCGCGTCGCCGCGCTCGCCTACACGATCGCCGCGGCGCTCATGCTCGTCACCGCCGGCGCGGCCCAGGCGCCCCTCGTGTCCCTCGACACGGACGAGGCCGTCATCGTCGCCTACGCGGCCTTCGCGGCCTGCTTCGTCGCCTACTCGCTCCTCGCGTACGCGCTCTTCCTCATCTCGCCGTCCGAGGTCGCGCTCTACGGCGCGCTCCAGGCGCCGCTGACGGCGACGCTCGCCTACGCGGCGACGCGCGAGGTCGTCCCGTCGATCCGCGACGTGTTCGGCGGCGGGCTCGCCGTCGTCGGCCTCGCGCTCGTCGCCGCCGCGGAGCACGGCGCGGCCAAGGACCCGCCGCCGCCCGTCGGCATCAACAACCCGCTCCTCGCGGACGCGGGCTCCTCGGCCAGCAACCCCTCGCGGAGCCCCTCCTCGCGGTCCACGTGCACGGCGAGCCCGGGGACCGCCTACTCGAGCGACTGCTAACTTCCTCGAGCGGAGTGCGGAAGCGAGCGCGGGCTGTGCGGACGCCAACCTTGCTTCGGCATGCCCCGTCGGGAGAGAGGCCCCAAGAGGGCTGCGTCGCGCGCCGTGCGCGTGGCCGTACGCGACGCATGTTGAACATCATGTTGACATCGGCTCCTCTGAGAGAGCTCGGCGCCGCGCGAGAGCGCTGCTTGCCTGCGATCTTCGGCTCGCGCGCGGCCCGAAAAAAAACCGCGCACAACAGCAAGGACAACATGCTGCGCCTCCTCCTCCTCAGCCTCGTGGCGACGACTGCGAGCGCCTTCGCGCCGTCGCGCCGGCGCCTCGTCGCGCGGACGCGCGCGCCGCGCCTGCGGCCGCTCGCGGCCGGCGGCGACGACGGCTGGGGCGACGACGCCGCGGACGCGCCGCCGGCGTTCGATCCCGACGCGCCGCCGAAGCCGTTCTTCGAGGACGCGCCGGCCAACCCCGACGAGCCGGAGCGCGACATGTTCGTGCCCGCCGTCGCCATCTTCAGCACGCTCTTCTTCTTCGGCACCTACGCCTACGAGACGCTGCGCCTCATCGAGGCGGGCGAGTTCTACATGCCGAAGCTGCCGGGATTCTAGGCTAAGGGCGCGCGTCGATTCTCGGGATGATAGGGGCACGGGAGGCGGCGCCGCCGCGGGACACCGCTCAGGCGGCCTCGGCGCGGACGTGATCGCGGACGTGGGCGTCGAGGTGGGCCTGGTCCGCGGGCGACAGGTGGACGCGGACGCAGCGCGCGAAGCCGAGCTCCGCGAGCGTGCCGAGCTCCTTGGCCATCTTGCGCGTCGCGGGCCCGTCGTCGCCCGTCGCGCCCTTGGCGTCGCGCCAGAGCGCGCGGACGGCCTTGATGGCGCCGACGGCGTGCGCCGCCGTCGCCGCCGCGGACGCGGCCCAGGCGTCGTCCCGCGCGCGCGGGTCGTCGTCGCCGACGGCGGGCCCGTTGTCGAGCGCGCGCGCGAGCGCATCGCGCGCGGCCTGGAGGTCGGCGCCGTCGCCCGTGGAGACGCGGCGGCCGAAGTCGTGGCCCAACAGCGCGTCGAGCACCGTCTTCGTCGCGGCCGCGGCGGCGACGGCGCGCGCGTGGGCCGGCGGCTCCGGGACGCCGAGGTCGTCGTCGTCGGAGTCGGGCGCCCGCGCGTCGTCGCGCACGGGCGCCGCGCGCTTCATGGACGACAGCGCGAAGGCCGACGCCGTGTCGAGCATGCCGGCCTTGGCGTCGCCGACGCCTTCGCACGCGCCGCAGAGCCAGTGGCCCCGCGCGTCGACCCAGGGCAGGTCGTGGCGGTAGCGGCCCGGACCCGCGGAGACGAGCCCGAGGCACCGCTCGTGGAAGGCCCGCGGGCACCGCGCGCAGCCGAGCACGGCGACGGCGTCCGCGCCGTCGACGGCGCCCGCGTCCGGCGGCGCGCCGAGCGGCGCCTCGCAGACGCCGCAGGTCGTCGTCCAGGGGTTCGGCGCGTGCTCCGGGTACGCGTTCCCCCGCTTCGGCGCCCCCGGCGGGCAGATGGAGCACTTGAAGGTGCCGCCCTTGGCCCGGAGCTCCGCGACGGACGAAACCCCCACCGCGAGGATGAGGTGGTGCTCGCACACAAAATGGGCCCCGTCGTCGCAGGCGCCGACGACGACGGGCCGCGGCGCGCCGCCGCACTTCTTGCACGGCGCCCAGCACCGCGCGACGAGGCCCGTCGTGTCGCCGCCGGGGCCGACGTCCTCGGGCTCCGCGACGACGCCCTCGGGCGGCGGCACCGCGTACGACGTCCGCCGGTGCTCGCGCCGCTTCTTCTTCCGGAACGCCGCGCCCATGTCCGAGCCTGCGTGGGGGGAATACTACACGTTCGTCCGTCGAGCACAAACGACGCGTCCAAAAACGAGCCGAAACGACGTCGATTCGAGCGCCGGACGCGGGTCTCCGGGCCGTGGGGCGCGTCGTCGCGCGGCGGCAGCGTGCCCCGCAGGTCGCGCTTCATGGACCGGGGCTTGGGCTCCGGCGCCGCGGGCACGGGCAGCGCGAGGCCCGTGATGAGCGCGAGCTGGCGCCAGTGCTCGCGCACGGGGCGGTGGTTCAGCAAAGATTTCCACGCGCCGACGTGGCGCTTCGCCTGGCTCGCGATGTCCCGCAAATCCGCGCTCGGGTCCCGGAGCTTGCCCACGGCGAGGATGTTGGCGATGTTGCAGACGTCGCAGCGCACGCACCACGAGCCGCCCTCGCCCCGGAGCGCGACGAGCTGCCGGCTCGGCGACCCGTCGCGCCGCGCGAACGCGTTGCCCACGCGGACGCCGTTGTCCGCCGTGAGCATGATCTCCTCGTCGAGCATCTGCTGGAGGAGCGCCGCCTGGTCGATGGGCGCTTGCCTAGGGGCGCGAGGTGTTTTTGTTTTTTTTCGCGGGGCGGGTACGACGCGGGGCGGACGCGCGCTCGCAGGAACTCGCCCTCCGAGAGCTGGGCCGGCATGAGCTCGCCGGGCCGGTGGTTCGACGTGCCCCGCCCGGCCCACCGCACGGACCGCCACGTGCTCACGACGTCGACGATGAGCCCCCGCCGCGTCGGGTCGCGCACGAGCGAGACATGGTCGCCGGGCTGAAAGTTGCCCGAGTGCGACGCGTAGGGCGGCACCGGCGCGTAGCTCATGTCGTTTCGACGCCTCGGGGGGTTGACGACGGGTCGCGAGGCCTCGCGACGAAGCGAGCGCTCTCGGGTCTTGCCTCAGAGCTGAGGGCGTCTCTCGGCGAGTAATGCTACCTAGGTAGTTAGCTTGCTGGTTCTTTGAACCTTCCGCCGTCCCAGCGCCTCCCCGGCCTCGCGCAGCTCCTCATTTTGGAGCAACAGGTGTCGTCGCGTACCGCGGCGCTGTCGAGCGGAACCGGCTCGATCGGTAGCCGGTCCATGTTCTTGGCGCGCGTAGCCGACGCCGCCGAGGTTCTTATGTGCACGGGGTCCGCGTAGTCGTGGTTTTGCGCGCGCTTGGCGTCGAGCCAGGCCTTGATGTGGTTGAGGTCGACGACGTGGCCCGGCCGCTCCTTGATCGCGCGCGGGAAGAGCGCGACGAAGCCCGCCTCCGTGTCCTCGTAGAGGTCGACCTACGGCGGTTGTTTCCGGTCCAGGCGCCGGTGGAGTCCGTCCGGCTCATCGCCTACGACCCGCCGAAGCCCGGCTGCGTCTCCAACGGGGAGCACACCGACGGCTGCATCGTCGGCTTGAAAGGGCTCCAGGCTCGCTTCATCGCCCTCGGCCTCGCGCGCCGGCGCGCGATCGGCCCGGGCCCGCGGCGCGCCGTGGCGCCCCCGCGTTGCCCTCCTTTTTTTCGAGCCGCACACTCGGACGCTTACATCGGCGCGAAACGCGCGACGCCCAGCACATAACATTGTGCCAGCCAGTTTGCACCTCCGAGCGTCGACGCGTCATCGCGCGCGCGCGAGGCGCGTTCTCTCGACCCCCGGCGGCCCACGAGCCGGCCGGGCTCGAAGCTGGCCTCGTCGCTGCTGCTGTACCTCCGCGCGCGCCGCCGCGCCGCCCAGCACCGCTCCTGGACGCCAGAAAGCGCAAGCCGCGTTCCAAAGAAAAGCCACCACTAAAAATGAGCGCCGACGCCGACGCCGCCGGGGACGACACGCCCAAGGCCGAGGAGACGCACGAGCCCAACATGACCCTGGCGCAGCAGGTCTTCCGCCAGGGCCGGGAGCCGACGCCGGAGCTCGAGAAGGAGATCCGGGCGACCATCGAGAAGGGCGAGATGGGCCCCTACTACGAGCACGTCTGCGCCAAGTTCGGCTGGCCCGTCGACGCCGCGCTGTTGGAGGGCATGAAGGCGAAGAACGCGGCGGAGCTCGCGGCGCTCGTCGCGAAGAAGGAGGACGCGGAGAAGAACCAGGGCGACATGGAGGTGCTCGACGCGCTCTTCGACGCCGTCAAGTTCCACGCGCGCGTCGGCGCGAAGGCGGAGGCGTACGCGGCGTGCGACGCGATCCGCGACCGGCCCAAGATCTCCACGGGCAAGCGCATCGACGCGTTGATGATGAAGATCCGCGTGTCCCTCTTCTTCGTCGACGTCGCGGCCTGCAAGGAGCAGCTCGCCGAGGCGAAGAAGATGGCCGAGGACGGCGGCGACTGGGACCGGAACAACCGCCTCAGCGTCTACGAGTCCGTGTTCATGATCATCAACCGGTCCATGGAGGACGCGGCGGCGAAGCTGATCTCGGGCGTGGCGACCTTCACCTGCGTCGAGCTCTGCACCTACCCGGAGTTCGTCTTCTACGCGGTCGTCACGAACCTGCTGAGCATGTCGCGGCCGGAGCTGAAGAAGAAGGTCATCGACGGGCCCGAGGTGCTGCAGATCATCAAGCAGATCCCCCACCTCACGGACCTCGTGACGTCCCTCTACGAGTGCGAGTACGCCACGTTCTTCCGGACGGTCGCGGCCATCGAGCCGCAGTTGCTGAACGACCGCTACTTCTCGCGCCACACGCGCTACCTCGTCCGCGAGCTCCGCGTGCTCGTCTACACGCAGTTCCTCGACGCCTACAAGACCGTGACCCTCGCCTCCATGGCCGAGGCCTTCGGCGTCGGCGTCGACTTCCTCGACGGCGAGCTCGCGCGCTTCATCTCGTGCGGCCGCCTCAACGCCAAGGTCGACAAGGTCGCCATGGTCGTCGAGACGAACCGCCCGGACTACAAGTCCCAGAAGTACCAGCAGATCATCAAGCAGGGCGACATCCTCCTCAACCGCATCCAGCAGCTCGCGAGGTGCGTCTCCATCTAGGCGACGCGGCCACCCGGGCGCCGCCCCGGGGTTCCCCTAACATCCCGTCGGCCGGTCGCGTCTGAAGTCGCGAATGCGCATGCGCCCCCAAGTCGACGCGGCGCCCCCGGGTCGGCGAAGATGACGCACGGGCGGCTTAGGCGGTCCGCGCGCGCCTAGGAGCGCTGGGGCGCGGAGAGCATGGCCTCGAGGTTCGTCTTGAGCTGCTCGTTGATCTTCTTGTACTTCGTGACCTCCTCCTCGTGCTTGGCGGCGTCGGCCTTGCGGCGCTCCTCCTCGCGCTCCTTGATGAGCTTGCACCGCTCCGTGAGCTCGGAGACCTGGCGCTCGAGGTCCTCCTTCTCCCCCTCGAGGAGCTTGACCTTGTTCTGCATCTCGGCCTTGCGGTGCTCGGCCATGAGGGCCTTGCGCATGCCGAAGGCGATGGACGACTCGTACAAGGTCTGGTACGCTGCGATCGTCATGCGGATCTCGTCGCGGACGCGGAGCAGCAGCAGGCCGCGCTCGGCGCAGTTGATGGTCACCTGGCGGATGACCTCGTCGAAGCACTGGGCGTAGAGCTCCTCGCGGATGGGGCAGATGCCCGTCTCGCGCGCCTGCCGCTGCTGCAGCTTGCGGTCGAGCTGCTCCTGCAGGTTGATGACGTCGAGGCGCGTCGCCGGCGTGCTGCTCACGTACTGGACCCAGAGCGTGCCGTCCTCCGTCCACTCCCGCGGCGGCAGGATCGAGTTCAGGATGTCCTCCGTCTGCGTGTTCGCGCGCTCGACGGGCGGGAGGCTGCTCGGCGTCGTCTTCTTCTTCTTGCCGCCCTTCTCCTTCGTCGTGCTCACGAGGATCGGGTTGTCGTACTTGACGAGCGAGTCGTGCGGCGGAATCATCTGCGCCTGGAGAGCGGGGGGCGCGCGTGACGCGCGCGGGGCGAACGGGGGGGCGTCGACGTGGGCGCGCGCGTCGTCCTCCGAGCGGCCGAGCGCGCGCCGTCGCGCGTTTTTTGTTTCTCGGCGCGCGCGACACCGGCCGAAGCCCTCGAGTTCGGACGCGGGACGACGCACCATGGCTGCGCTCGCAACGACGGCCGCCGCGCTGCTCCAATATGGGCCGGCGCAAAACGCGCGCTGAGGAGCGCAGTATCATTCGCGCACGAGATCGTGCCCTTCAATGTTGGCGCAGCCAATCGATAATTCGAGAGAGTGCGTGTTATTAGGCGTGCCGGAGGCGGCATCGCGGGCGGGCGCCGAAGAAGCGGCGGCTGGCGGGGGCCTGGTCGTGGGTGAGAAGCGCGGTCGCGTCGTCGGAGGCGTCCTCGGCGTCCGACGGCGCGCGGGCGCGCTCACCGCGTGTTGCTGACCATGCAGACCGTGGGCAGCGTGATCGTGTCGCTGGGGAGGTAGTTGGTGATGATGCCCTTGTGGCCCATGGTCGCCCGGGGGCTCTTCGGCATCTTCGTCTCGCCGTTTTCTTGCGGCCAGCGCACCGTGAAGCGGCCGTCGCCCTGCTTCGGCTTGGCCTGGAACGACGAGCCCGTCTTCCGGCCCTTGTCGACGAGGTGGCCGTTGTCGTCGACGACGAACTTCGTCGGTGGTCGCTGGCTCGTGTAGCTGCGCGGGGGCGGGCGGGGGTCGCGCGGCGCGACGCGCGACGCGCGACGCGGGCGCCGCGCTGGCCCGCGTAGTCCTTCATCTTCGGGGAGCTGTACTCGGTCTTGACGGGCTTGCCGACCTTGCGCCGCGGCGTGCGCGGCGACATGGTCTCGTCCGTCGGGACCTCCCAGTTGTAGAGGTTCTTGGCCTGCGCGGCATTTTTGCTATTTGGTTGGGTTGGGGATGGCAGGAACATCTCGGGGGGAAAGACGCACGTTGCGGTCGTACTGCGCCGCGGAGAAGGTCATGCTCATCGTCGCCGGCCCGCTGCGGCTGCCGATGAGCAAGTAGAGGCGGAGAGTTATTCGATATATGGGAGTTTCAGGCGAGGCACGGTCGCTTTGAAGAAGATTGGCAGCGTCTCGTCAAGATAGCTTCAAGCTACAGCTGTAGCTTGGAGGCGCCCTCCCGCGACGATGTCTCCGCAATCGCCGCCGGACCTCGAGTCCGAGTTCGCGTCGCTGCTCACGGATGGCACGCTGGCGATCCCCGTCGCGGCGATCCAGGTCCTGCTCGGCGTCATCGAGCGGTCGAGCAGCGCGACGATGCACGGCCTCGACGAGGAGCTGCGCCTCGCGCGGGACAAGCTCCTCGCCTTCTGCGAGACGCAGCCCGCGTGCCTGCGGGGCCGCACGGTCATCTCCGTCTCCTCCGGCTCCGAGCTCTTCCTGCGCCACGTCACGCGGACGTTCCTCGAGTTCGAGGACTTCGACGAGTGCAAGCGCATGCTCGGCGCGCGCGGCTCGTCGTTCGCGCGCCAGTCCGAGGCGAGCCGCGCGCGCATCGCCGAGCTCGGCCACGCCTTCGTGCGCGACGGCGCCGCCGTCCTCGTCCACGGCCGGAGCCGCGTCGCGACCGCGCTTCTAGCGAAGGCCGCGGAGACGAAGCACTTCTCCGTCTTCGTCACCGAGGGCCGGCTCGACGGCGCGGGCGTCGACTACGCGAGCGACCTCGCGGCGCTGGGCGTGCCGACGACCATGATCCTCGACACGGCCGTCGCCTACTACATGGAGAACGTCGACGTCGTCCTCGTCGGCGCCGAGGGCGTCATGGAGAACGGCGGCGTCATCAACAAGGTCGGCACGCTCGCGGCGGAGCGGGAAAAGCGTGCTTCACTGTCGCTTCAACGCGAGTGTGCCGCGCGCGCGCGCGCCGGAAAACGCATCCACGCGTCGAGAGCGCTCCGAGAGATGATCGCCCGTCGAAAAATGAGCCGAAACGAGTGGAAAACGACCGAGAGACGAGCCTCCCAAAGTTGGAGATTTCGCACTCTTTTCCCGCCCAGGCTCACGGTCGCGACCTGCGCCAAGGCCATGCGCAAGCCCGTCTACGTCGCCGCCGAGTCTTACAAGTTCGCGCGCCTCTACCCGCTGAACCAGCGCGACCTGCCCGAGTCGCACGCGCACACCGTCGCGCTGCCCCTCCCGGAGTCCGCGCACGCGGACGTCGTCGCCAAGTCGCCCGCGTGCGACTACACGCCGCCCCAGTTCATCACCCTCCTCTTCACGGACCTCGGCATCCTCACGCCCGCCGCCGTCTCCGACGAGCTCATCCGGCTCTACCAATGAGTAAGGGTCTAGAGCTGGTACGCGGGCGCTCGTCGGCGCGTTTCGACGGCCCGCGGGCCCGCGGCGGCCGGCGGACGACGTTTACGACGAGCACCTCTCCGTGGCCGTCACCGCCGTCGACCGCAACGCGCGCTGCCCCGCGCGGCCGGCGTAAGCTGCATTAGGATGAATGCAATTGCAGGGAACGTTGCCGGCGTTGACGCGTATCGATTGAGACACGTTTTCGGCCAAGAATCGAGCGAGAAGGCGACTCGGAGCACCTCGCGCCGGCGCGTGCTGGCACCACTGCACCAAAGTCAGCAACGACGCGCTCCGCATCACCGCAAGTCTCCTACGTGTCCATCTGACTCGCGTGCGCAAGACCAGCTTCGCAGACGCGCATCAACCGTCGCCATGAACCCGCAGACGAAGCTCGTGCTCACGTCGGGCATCGCTGGAGCCAGCTTCTACGGCGTCCGGCGCGCGGGCCTCATCGACAGCGCGCAGGAGGCGCGGCTGCAGGAGCTCCGCGCCGAGTTTTTCGCGCGGCGCGACGGCGCGTCGGCCGTCGCCTACGAGCTGCTCCGGACGTGCGTGCTCGCGACGGCCGCGGGCATCTTCCAGGTCTACAGCGGCGGCATCGTCATCGACACGGTCGCGACGCGGCTCCAGGCGGGCCTCGGCGCGAACGCGGCGCTCTTCGGCCTCCGGTCCGCCGCGCCCGTCGGCGCCGTCGTCGACCGCTACGTGCGGCGCAGCGCCTTCGCGTACCGCGCGGTGCCGGAGCTCGCCGCGCGGCCCGCGGAGGTCTACTGGGGCCTGCTCCTCCGCTCGAACCTCTGCGCGGGCCACTTCGTGACCATGCAGTCGCGCTTCCCCTACCTCTTCCTGAACTTCGGCACGTACCAGCTGGGCGACCGCTGGCTCGCGAGCCGCCGCTCGGGCGGCGCGCCGAAGACCGTCGCCGAGGAGCTCGCGTGCGTCGGCGCGGCGACGTGCGTGTCGTCGACGGCGATCACCGTGGCCGAGTGCCCGAAGATCCTGGACCAGGTCGGCGGCCGCTGCGGCGCGCCGACGACGGTCTCGAGCGTCTACCGCGACTTCGGCCTCGCGCGGCTGCTGCGCGGCTACTCGGCGTGCTTCTGCCGCGAGGGCCTCTTCAACTTCGCGCTGCTCGGGTCGCCGGCCGTCGCGGGACGGTTGCGGGCCGCCGCCGACGGCGGGCCGTGGGCGGAGATCTTGGACGGCCGCGAGGTCGTCGTCGCGTCCGCGCTGCTGGGCCTGCCCATGGGCTTCCTGACGAACGCGCCGGACCAGCTGAAGACGCGGATCCAGATGGGCCGCCACGCCAACCTGCGGGAGGCCCTGCGCTGGCAGGTCGCCCACGGCGGCGGCGTGTCGGGCCTCTTCGGCCGCGCCGCGGCGTGGCGCGCGCTCTTCATCGCGCACGCGGTCGTGACCTTCAACTTCGCGCGGGGCGGCGTCGAGCGGCTCCTGTTCTAAGCGTTTTTTACGCGGCGCGGCCGAGGAGCTCGAGGGCCTTGGCCTGGGGGAGCATGAAGCCGAAGGACCAGCGGCTCCCGTCGTCGACGACGATGCTGTGCCAGCGCCGCGCGCACGCGTCGATCCGGAAGACGCGGGCGACGCCGTCGCGGTCCGGCGCGCGGACCGTGGCGCCGCCGTCGTCGACGTAGGCGTAGGACGCGTTGCCGCGGACGCGGACGAGGTAGAGGCGGTAGGCCGCCGTGTCGAAGGAGTTCGCGTGCCACATCGCGAACGAGTCGGGAGGGTAGAAGAGCGAGTTGAGGTGGTAGCCCCGCGAGACGTTCGTCGCCAAGACGCGGTTCGCGAGGCGGCGGAAGTTCCCCATGGCCTCGGGCGTGCCCCGGAGCTTCCAGGCCGTGCCGATGCCCGTGTTGCACGCGCGGTCGAACGCCGTGCCGTTGCCGTCGCGGATGCGGACGCAGGCCTCGTCGGGCGTCGGCAGCTCGTCGACGAGCGGCGCGGAGGTAAAGGGCAGGAAACGGCCCGCGAGGGCCCGCAGCTCGCGCTTCCGGTGGCGGAGCTCGACCACGAGGTCCTGGAGCAGCGGCACGGACTCGCCCGCGAAGTCCGCGGCCGCGCGGCGCCGGTGGTACGCGTGCTCGCTCGCCGCGCCGCCGTTGGCCGCGCGCGGGTGGTCGATCAAGGAACGGTAGTCCGCCTCGTCGCCGATCAGCGCCACGGCCGCGTCGAAGAGGGACGCCAGATCCGGGCGGTCGTCGACGTGGAGCTCGCCGACGAGCGATTGCGGCGCGCCGCCGCCGCACCAGCGCTCGCAGCGCGCCGCCGACGACGCCGCGACGGCGGCCATCAGCGCGACGGCGCCGAGGTGGCCGCGGCAGGTTCGGGCCGCGGCGATCCCGACGGCGGCGGCCGCGACGGCCGCGAACGCGCCGCCGAGCAGCGCGTCCATGTTCGTCGCGGCCGACGCGACGCAGAAGCCCTTCCCCGCGACGGCCGCCGCGGCGCCGAACACGGGCAGCGCGGCCCAGGACCGGCGCGGCCCCTCGGGCACGAAGACCCAGACAGGCTCGCTCGCGAAGCGCAGCGCGAGCGCGGCGACGGCTCCGAACGCGAACGCGTGGCGCGCGAGCCACGCGGCGTCGCCCTCGGCGTCCGTCGCCATGCGCAGCCAGCGGTAGTCGCTCTCGACGACGGCGAGCGCCGCGAGCGCCGCGACGCCGCGCTTGCCGCCCTGGCCCAGCGCGCACCAGGCGCAGGCCAGGGCCGACCCCAGGCGCCCGGCGGCGACGTGCGCGACGGCGAGGCCCGCGAGCGCGGCAATTGCGACGCCGCCTAAGCCCTCCCTGAAGGCGTCGACGGCCGCGCACACGACGTCGACGACGCCGTGGTCGATCAGGAGGTCCAGCGTCTTGTCCAGTGTCTTGCCCATCGCCATCGCGCTGCCACACTCAAATGACGAGGACGCAGGCGCAGTGGGGAGGCGAGGAGCTCGTGCAATCAGAGGCGAGCAGCGGCGCGCGGACGGCGGCGCACACGACGCGCGGCGCCTGGATTTGTATCGACCAAGCCGGGCACTGGCCACGCCGCTCGCTGAGGTTTGCCTGTGCGGTTCAGCGTATCCGGCTTGCGTCCGGTTGTAACGCGACGAGGTGTTGGCTGCCTCCAGTCGTCGGCGCCCCCGAGGGCGCATCATGGAGCGGCCGGACTTTGGGAAGATCTTGGATTTTTTCAAGGATGAGCAGACGCGGGACCTCGTGTCGCGGCAGCACGCCCTGCTCAAGCGCATCGTCAAGAGCTGCCGCACGGGCTTCACGCTGCGCGAGCTGCCCGTCGTCGCCGAGCTGCTCGAGCTCGTGTCGGCGCGCATCGGGGCCATGGAGCAGCCCGACGACGCATTGGACCTGGAGAAGACGCTCTGCAAGACCGTGCGGCTCTGCGGCATGCCCGCGATCCGCGAGAAGAGCAACGAGGAGCTGCTCGCGCCCGGCCTCGCGGCCGCGGAGACGATCCTGCGGCGCCTCGAGAGCCTGCTCCACTCCGGGTCGCCGCGCGTGGCCATCGAGGCGACGCGCGCGCTCCACGTCGTCGCCCGGGGCGAGGCCGAGGGCGACGCGGAGCGCGGCGGCGGACGCCAGAACGCGACGGCGACGAAGCAGCTCAACCGGCGGCTCCTCCTCAAGGCCCAGGTCGTCGAGGGCGCCGTCGCCGAGCTGCGCACCCACGTCGAGCAGCTGCTAGCCATCGACGACGACGGCACGGCCGCGGTCGTCGCCGAGGCCATCTCGAAGGACGTCGACGGCGAGTCGTCCGACGACGACGAGAGCGCGGACGCGCGGCGCCACAAGAAGAAGAAGCTCGGCAAGGGCGGCGGCTCCGGCGGCATGAGCGGCCACCGCCTCAGCGCCGCCGGCGCGCGCGCGGGCACGCCCTTCGGCGGGGCCCTGGTCTTCTCGACGGCGCCGCGGACGCTCGCGTTCGCGGAGCTGCAGCTGCTTTTAGCTTTGGTGAAGCTCCTGCGCGAGCTGTCGACGTCCTACGACGCCGCGGGCGCGTTGGTGCGCTGCGGCGGCATGGGCGTCTGCATTTCGGTATTGCGCCTCTTCCTCCACGACCCGCTCGGGTCCGAGCCGGTGGCGGTCGCCGTCGAGGTGCTGTGGAACGCGCTCGAGCACAGCGCCGTCGCCGTCAACGCCGCGGGCCCGCCGGCGCCGTCGCGCACGGAGCTGCTGGCGCGGCGCCGCGAGAACAACGCCATGTGGCACCTCGCGGACGACACGGCGCTGGCCGTCCTGCGCCAGCTGCTCACGGCGCTCTTCGTGCACGGGCGCCGCGCGGTGGACAAGCAGCTCCGGAACGAGGTGCTCATCGTGTCGTCGCTCATCGCGTCGCACCGCAAGAGCCACAAGCCCTTCCGGACGCAGAACCTGCTCCAGCTGCTGCTGCAGTACGCGACGGCGTCGGAGCTCCCCGAGGACTCGATCGAGGAGCGGACGCGCGCGTCGTCCAAGGGGTCGCTCTGGGACCCGGACAAGCCGCCCCTCGCGGACCGCCACAACTTCGCGACGGGCTCGCCCGAGGACCTGGAGATGAAGCGCATCCTGTGGGCTTTGTTGTCGGACCTCGGCCGCCAGGACCAGGCGAACCTCGAGCTCATCGTCAAGGCCGACTTCATGGGCGCGCTGCTCATGTACCTCGACGTCGACTCCCTCGAGGCCGTCGACGAGCCGAGCTTCGAGGAGTCCATGCTCCTGGAGGGGCCGGGGAGCCCCGCGGACGGCGACCCGGGCGACGCGCCGGAGCCGGCCGCGGGCGCGCCGCGGCGGCGCATCCCGACGACGCTGCGGCGCCTGCCGCTGACGCAGCTCCACGTGCTCCAGCAGCAGGCCATGGCCGTGCTGCTGAATCTGGCGCCGCGCGCGCCCGCCGCGTTCCAGGCCCTGCAGGGCCACATCCTCGCGCTGCGCTTCCTGGACGCCTGCGACGACACGGGCGGCGGCGGCGGCGCGCCGAAGAGCGAGCCCAAGGTGCCCAAGTCGGCGTCGGGCCTCATCCAGGGCGCGTTGATGCTCCTCATCTCCGTCGTGGGCCTGCCGGGGTTGCAGGACGAGCTCGGGCACCTGGACGCGGTGCGCATCATGCTCCGGCGCTTCACGGACAAATCGGCGAACAACTCGCTGCGCGCCGACGCCGTGCAGATCCTCTCCAAGCTCTGCGAGGGCCACGTCGGGAACCAGACGAGCCTGCGGCGCCTCGACGGCATCTCGGCGCTCGTCGACGAGCTCGAGATCTACTGCTCCGGCCGGAGCCCGGCGCCGCGGCTCCGGCCCGCGCCGCCGGGCGGCGGCGGCGACGACGACGGCGGCGGCTCCGGCATCGCGAGCTCGTCGGCGACGGAGAAGGTCACGCCGATCACCGTCGGCGTGTTGGACTGCGTCTGGAACGCCGTCGTCGGCAACAAGCGGTCCGAGGCGCGGCTCCCGCCGGCCCACGGCATCGACGCGCTGCTGAGCATGCTCGAGGTGGGGCCGCGCCTCATGCGCCACCAGGTCTGCGGCGTGCTCGCGGATCTCGCGCGGAACGGGAAGCTCGTGCCCTACGTGCGCGCGTGGCGGAGCGACCGGTCCATGCGGTCCGCGTCCCAGCTCCTGGCCCACGTCTGGGAGGACGAGGAGATCCGCCTGGGCTGCGACCGCGAGCACGGCATCCTGTCGAACCTGCAGCAGCCGCTCCGGCGCCAGCGCGGCCTCGGCGGCGCGGCGGCCGCGGACGACGCGGGCTCGCCGTCGCGGGCCCAGCCGCCGCCGCCGGGCGACTCGAGCGACGACGAGTCGCTGCGGGCGCCCCCGCCGCCGCCGTCGCCGGGCTCGCCCGACGCGAAGGCGACGACGAAGTTCGTCCGCAAGGCCCAGGGCGGCGGGTTGCAGACGTCCATGGCCGCCAAGGCCGAGCGCGCCATGCGCCAGGCCGTGGGCGCCTGCGACCTGCGGGCCAAGATCGCGCCCATCGTCGAGCTGCTGGGCCACGAGGACGCGGCGGACGGCATCCCCGCGGAGGACCGCGCGACGCTCTGCATGGTGCGCCACTACGAGCAGTTCTGCGACGGCGAGTCCTGGGCCGAGGTCCGCGACCAGCTCCGCGCCGCCGGCGTCAAGCCCATCGCCGCGGACGCGAAGCTCCTCGAGCTCAAGCTCGGCGCGTGCGCGGCGACGGCCGAGGCGACGCAGGCGGAGCAGAAGGTCCTCGCGGGCGAGCGCGAGGACGAGGAGCGGAACACGGAGGCGGCCTACCTCGGCACGATCCTCCTCCAGCGCGACCAGGAGATCCGCCAGCTCGCGATCAAGCGCAACGCGCTCGTGCCCAAGTCGCTCCAGCAGAAGCGGCGCGCGGAGAAGGCGAAGCAGCACGCCGAGGCGACGGGCGAGGCCCACCCCTCCGTCGACGCGACGACGTCCGGCGAGCTCTCCTCGACCCTTCCCCCGCCCTAGGTCGAGGTCCCCGCGCTTAACCGTACGCGCCGGTCGTCGCGTAGTTCACGACGAGCTCGCCGCCCGCGCCGAAGCACCGGAACAGGTGGTCCAGCGGCTCCACGGGGCTCGGCGTGAACGCGCTGTCGCAGTAGAGGAAGAGCTGCCTGTCGCTCGACAGCTGGAGCCTGCGAGCGCGCGGCGGTCGCTCGTCCGCCGCGCGCGGCCGGCGGCGCGCGCGGACGCCGGCGCCGCGCCGGTCCCGCAGGAATCGATGCACGGATCGGAACGGCTCGTCGCCGCTGATGTGAAATTTCATCTTCCGCATGATCGGCGCGTTGCCCACGGCCTTGAAATGCAGCTTTATTTTGCTCGGCTTCGGCGGCTCCGGCGGCGGCGGCGGCGGCGACGGCGCGTCTGGTGCTGCCGTCGACGATGACGACCTACGACTGAGTGTGACTGCAGCAGTTGAGGCGTCGCGCGGGACGCCGAAGGAGCGCGTCTCCTCGGCGTCCATTCTTGCCACTTCACGCAACCATCGTGCCGCGTCGGTGCCGCGCTGCGCTCTCGCGCCGCCAACGTCGCCGCCACCAACGATGGCGGCCGAGACGACGTCCTGGGAGAAGCTGCGCAGCCGCGCGCGCTACCTGGAAGCGGAGCTCGAGCGGTCGCTGCCGAACCTCGTGAGCCTCGTCGCGCGGCCGTCGACGAGCGGCGCCGAGGAGTCGCGGCTCAGCGCGAGCATGGAGGGCCTGCTCGCGGAGCTGCGCGACGTCGCCGACGCCATGGCCGTCGAGGTGGAGAAAGCGCCGTCGGCGGCGCGCAACGCGATCCTCCAGCGGTCGCGGGAGGTCGCGGGCGACTTCGAGCGCGAGCGCAAGAAGGCGATGCGCGAGGTAAAAACGAACAGCGACCGGTCGCGGCTCTTCTGCGGCGCGGATGCCGACGACCCGGAGGCCGGCGGCGAGCACCTGCAGCCCATCCTCAAGGAGCGCAAGCACCTGGGCAACGCGAGCCGCGGCGTCGGCGACGTCCTCGACCAGGCCGCCGAGGCGCGGAGCGACCTCGCGGCGCAGCGCGCGGCGCTCGAGGGCAGCGAGCTCACGCTCGGCGGCCTCGTCGCCAAGCTGCCCACGGTCGAGGGCGTCATCGAGGCCATGCGGCAGAAGCAGACGCGCAACAACGCCATCATCGGCGTCACGATCGGCTGCTGCTCGAGCTTCCTCCTCTGGGCCGTCTTCGCGTAGTAGGTTTAGCCCTCGATGGGGACGGGGAGCGCGTATCGTGTGTCCTCGGCGACGCGCGCCGGCTCGCCCGCCGGCTCGGGCGCGGCGACCTCCGCGACGAGCGGCGCCTCGGGCTTCTCGGGCGCGGGCCCGTCGAGCATGACGACCTTGCCCGTCGGCGGCGGGAGGACGACGGGCTCCTTTGGGGCGTCGCCGGGGGGGTTCTCGGCCTTGGCCTTCGCCGCGGCCTCCCGGCGCAGCCGGCTCCGCTCGAGCGCCTCGGCCTTCCGCGCCTCCTTGGCCTCCGCCATCCTCTTCTTGCGCGCGTCCGCCTCGGCCTCGAGCGCCTCGAAGCGGGCCGCCTCCGCCTTGGCCTGCTCCTCGCGGAGGTAGGACACCATGGCCGCGAGGAGCGAGTCGTGGCAGACGCCCGTGTCGTCGGGGAAGAAGCGCGCGAAGGCGCCCTTGAGCTCGAGCTCCTGCCGCAGCTGGTACGTCGTCAGCGACCCGACGCTGTGCAGGTCGTAGGCCGGCGTCGTCGACGGGTCGTAGGCGGGCGCGGGCGGGAGCGCGGGCATCCGCGACGAGAGCGAGCTCATCTTCGCGGCGCGGGCGCGCGACGATGCGTTGCGCGGCGCTTCGACGCGACGGCGCGGCGGCTTCCCGAGGGGCAGCCCCGACCTCATGGGATACGATGAGGCCAAAAGTCGCCCGAGCGTTTCAGACGACGATGGAGAGCCCCGAGCCTCCGGACGAGCCCATGGGCTCGCCCGGCGGCGCGAGCTCGCCGAGCAAGGACGACGCGCCCGTCGACTTCGACGCCGGCAAGCACGACGAGGAGAAGGTCGTCCACGTCGTGCAGCTGCCGTCCAAGGACGTGCACCAGGAGGTGGCGCAGCCGGAGAACGAGGACCTCTTCCCCGACGACATGGAGCTGCGCGAGGCGGAGGCGACGTACCTGGACCGGCCGTCGCTCATGCCGCGCGTCGTCGGCCGGGGCCTCGCGCGGTTCCGCGCGGGCGTCCGCAAGTACATCCTCGCGCACCGCGCGAGCCAGCAGTTCATCCCGCTCGAGTACCGGGAGCAGCGCGAGCGGCAGAAGTCGCGGGAGCGCGGCGGCGCGACCTACGTCGACATGCCCGGGTCGCGCCGCGTGGAGCAGCTCGTCATGGTCGAGGACAAGGGCAAGAAGAAGCGGGGCCGCCTCGGCCGCAAGGCGCAGCCGGGCGTCCACACGCCGGAGACGCCGCCCCAGACCGGCGACCACGACGACCGCGACGGCAAGAGCCGCGGCGAGAGCCGCGCGACGAGCCGCGGCGGCTCGAAGAAGGGCCGCCGCGGCGGCCCGCTGTCGCTCCTCGAGATCGTGAAGCTCGACCCGGGCCTCCGGCGCGAGGAGGATTTGAGGGTCCTCGTGAACAAGCTCCTGAGCCACAGCTACTTTAGCGAGAAGGGCCACGAGGTCGTCACGGAGCTCGCGCGCCACATGCGGCTGCTGACCTACCGCCTCGGCGATATGATCTTCAAGCCCAAGGACGGCCGGCAGAACTCGGGCGCGTTCTACGTCCTCGTGTCGGGCACGGTGAGCGTCGAGGTCGCCTACGAGAAGATCATCTTCGACGTGTGCAAGTACACGACGGGCGAGACCTTCAACCGCGCGCCGAGCCACAAGACGGCCGCGCGGTGCGTCACGGACTGCAAGCTCATGGTCGTCACGGTCCGGGACGTGGAGAACGCGACGCGCCACATCGAGGACAAGAAGATGTCGGAGAAGATCCACTTCTTTCGGCAGCTGCCCCACTTCCACGACCTGCATCTCGAGGACCTGCGGAAGGCGCTGCTGCCCTTCGAGCAGAAGGACCACACGGCGAACCAGGTCATCTCCTGCCAGGGCGAGAAAAAGCACTTCGACAAGCTCTTCGTCGTGATCACGGGCGAGTGTAGGATCGTCAAGAAGCTCATCCTGCCGGCCGCGGCCAAGGGCGGCGACGTCGCGAGCCGGCGCCGCGCGACGTCGTTTTTGGAGGACGCGCGGAAGAAGAAGGCGCCGCCGCAGCCGGCGCCGCCGGCGGGGGCGCCGCGCCGCGGGCGCCGCGAGTCCCTCGGCGGCCGGCGCGGATCCCTGTCCGGGCGCCACAACAGCATCAACACCGTCGCGGAGTTCTACGACTTGGGGCGGCTCCAGGCGGGCGACTTCTTCGGCGACTGCTCGTCGCTCGCCGTCGGCGGCGGCAAGACCAAGAGCCTCTGGAACGAGGGGCCGGACTACTCCGTCATCGCGCTCTGCTACACGCGCGTCTACGTCGCGCCGGTCGCGGCGCTCGTCCGCGACGGCAACCCGGCGACGCGCGCGTGCTTCGGCCACATCCGGGCCCACCTCGAGCGCGTCTCCGCGGCCTTCGAGCACCACACCATCCTCTCGCTCCACCAGAAGTCCGTCGCCTGGGAGCGCTACAAGCGCCGCGTCGTCAAGGACCAGGTCGCGCCGCACTTCGTGTCCTGCGGCCGCAGCTACGGCACGGGCAAGATCCCGACGGAGGGCGAGGTCGACGACGCGCCCGTGGACCGGCCCAAGGCCCTCAACCTGCGCCAGGCGCCGGGCGACGAGGAGGAGGAGGACGGCAAGCAGGACGGCATCTCCAACGAGATCCGCCAGATCTTCGGCGCGCGCGTGCCCCAGGGGTCCTCGAGCGCCGCGAAGCAGAACTCGAGCCGCCTCACGATCATGTAAGAGGGGGTTTAGGCGGGCTAGGGGGATCCAGCGCTCAGGCGGGCACGCGCGGCGGGACGAAGTGCGGGACGTCCTGGACCAACTTTAGGTGCAAGCAAGCCTCAAGGACCGCGTCGAGTCGGGGCGGATCAAGAAGCCGAAGCCGCGCGAGACCGAGCCTCGTCGAGTGTCGACGCGGGGACAGGCTTCAGAATGGGCGCGGTGCACCCGGTCCGAGCCACGCGCGCCGCCAAGCAGTTCGGCGACCGGCTGAGCTCGGACAAAGCGGCGGCCACGCGCGCCGCGAAGAAGATGACCGCCCAGCAGCTCCGCGACCGCCTGAGCGCCGCGGGATGCGCCGATCTTTCGGGGCTCAAGCCGGCGCTCGTCGAGCGCTGGGTCTCGGTGGAGCGTGCGCTCAGCGTCAAGAAGCAGAAGAACCGGGTCTCGATCGACGCCGTCGTGCGCGTCGCGGACGCGGTCGGCTGGCGCGTCCTCGCGGGCTACGCCGACCTCGCCACGTGCGCGGCGATCCGGGCGACGTCGCGCGCGTACGTCGCCGCGGGCCGCGGCCTCGACGCGGATCCGGAGTGGTGGCGGTCGATCGCGGCCGTCCAGGGCGACCTCTACAGCGACCTCTACGACTTTGGCTTCAATCGCGTCCCGCCGACCCACTCGTGCTGGCCGCTCGCCGGTCGCATGCTCGTCGAGACGCGCATCGGTCGACGCGCGTATGACGCCGATGCCAGCTCCCGCCAACGCGACTGGCGTTTCGGCCGGCGGGGGCAGCGGCCCGCCTGGGCGCGGCGGGCCCTGGGCAAGGTCCACGCGCTCCTGTCCGTGGCCGTGGGCGAGAACGCGGAGGCGGTCAGCTACGCGACGCGCGGCGAGGCGCCCGCCGAGCTCGAGCCGCGGCTCTGGGTGCCGTCGCTCGGGACGGAGCTCGCGCTGCCGCTCGACCCGGAGGCGGTGCGGCGCCTCGTCGCGGGCGCCGGCGAGCGCGCGCCCCTCGGCAAGGGCACCGAGACCGTCGTCGACCTCGACGCGCGCCGGACGTGGCGCTTCGCGCTCGGGAAGGACGTGCTCGCGACGTCGCCCGAGTGGAACGCGGCCCTGACCGCGTCGCGCGGCGGCGGCGACGCGTCGATCCTGGACCAGGTCCTGCTCAAGATGGCGCCCGCGCTCTCGGGCCGCGGCGCGGTCGTCGCGCAGCCGTACCAGATGCTCGTCTACGAGGAGGGCGACTTCTTCCACCGGCACATGGACACCGCGCGCGCGCCGAACCACATCGGCTCGCTCGTCGTGTCGCTGCCCGTCCGCGGCGCGACCGAGGGCGGCGAGCTCGTCCTCCACGACCCGCGCGCGGCTGCGGGCGCGCGCGGCCGCGCCGAGCCGTCCGCGGCGTCGGACGGCCCCCCGCTGTGGACCGCGTTCTACACGGACGTCGAGCACGAGGTCCAGCGCGTGCGCCGCGGCCTCCGCGTCACGCTCACGTACCACCTGCACGCGGCGACCTTCGCCGGCGCCGTGCCGCGGCCCCCGCGCGCGCTCCTCCGCGCGCGCTCCGCGGGCGAGACCGGGAGCGTCCTGCTTCTCGCCGCGAGCCTTGGGTGGTGCCTCGAGCGCGTGACGAGCGGCTCGGGCATCATCGTCGCACTCACGCACAAGTACACGGAAAACACGCTCCCCTACGTCCAGAAGCGCGACCCGGATCAGCCGGGGTATTTCAAGCGCGACCCGTCGCATCTCCGCGGAGAGGACGCGATCGTCTACGCCACGCTCGTCGCGGCGGTGAATCGCCTCGTTGAAAGGGGCGGCTTTGACAGCGACGGCGAAAGCGACGACTCGGCCGACGGCGACGGCGACTGCGACGCGGACTATCCGGGGAAGCTGCCGATCTGCATCGACCTCGTGAGCGTCCGCGACTTTGAGGAGGGGGAAGGAGGCAATCAGCAGCGCTTCAACTTTGGCGAAATCTGCGAAGGAGAGTGGTGTCATTTTGGTCGCGACATTACCTTGCTCAACCCAGACGACTTTACGCGGATCCTCAAGCGCACGGACCCGACGTACACGCGCCTTTACACGGGCAACGAAGGCATGGAGGCCGGCTACATCTACACCTCGGCGGTCATCAAAATCGGCTCCGTCAACGAAGACTACTAGACCACGCCCGATCGGCACTGCTGCCGCGCTTCGCGACTCCTAAGACCAAGACGCCGTGTAGCGGACTAGACGGCCCTCAGCAAGCCAAGGGGCTGGCCTCGAACCAGCCTCGCCGAGGCCCTCAGCCCTCGAAGGCTTAACTTCGCCTCCCTCGAAGCCCAAGCAGGCAAACAGGCACTTTATGGGCAGCAGACAGGGGTGCTTCACGCGCTCTCCTTGGATTCGGCGTCGTCGGCGAGGAGGACGGCCTCGGGCTCCGCGCGGGAGAGGACGCTCTTGCGCGCGTTGAGGGGCGGCTTCTCCGCGTCGGCGCCCTTGCCCTCCTCGTAGGAGAGGAGCTTCTTGAAGTGGCTCTTCATGCGCCGCTTCAGGAGGACGAAGGCCGCGAGGCGCGCGACGAGGAAGATGAGGAGGAGCGCGAGGACCGCGATGGCCGGCTCGAAGCGGCGGAGCTCGTACTGCTTGTAGATCTCGACGACGGCGATCTTGCCGTCGTTGCGGTCCGCGCCGCCGCCGCACGAGTCGACGTAGATCGTGCCCTCGTCGTCCGTGTCGTTGCCGCACTTGAACCTTTTGTTGTCGATGCTGAACACGGACCAGACCGCCAGGTGGAGGATGTAGAAGACGGGGTTGCAGAACGCCGCCCAGGGCACGGCCGTCTCGTCGAGGCGGATGAAGAAGCCCGTGAAGAGGAAGCAGTAGGTCACGAAGAGCATGGCGCACGTCGACAGGTTCTCCGGCTTGACCGCGGCCGAGAGCAGCAGGCCGATGGACTGGAACGTGAGCAGCGCGATGACGACGACGGCGTAGAGCGCGACGAAGACGAGCGGGTTCGTGGAGACGCCCGAGAGCGCGAAGAAGACGATCAAGTAGATCATGGACTGCGCGAACATGGGCAGCAGGAGGTACGTCGTCTGGATGAGGTACCAGGCCTCGAGGCGGAACGAGTTCACGGAGAGCTCCTTCCGCAGCATGATCTCCGCCGTCGGCACGAAGCCGAGGCTGTCCATGAGCGGGAAGAAGACCCAGGCGATGGGCACGGCGAAGGCGAGCGAGTAGCGAGACCAGATATCGCTCTCCCGGTACCCCAGCTGGAACCACATGAGCCCGCCGATCGTCGCGTTGCCGACGTGGAGCTGGAGCGACGTCCGCTGGAAGATCTTGGGCTTCACCTCCTTCCACGCGCGCGCGCAGAGCACGGCGGCCTGCTCCGAGAGCGGCGCCGCGTAGCGGTGGCGCCGCGCCGGCGCGTCGAGCGCGCGGAGCGCCGGCGGCGGGGAGAGGGTCCCGGGGCCGTAGGCGGCGTCGAGCGCCGCGACCGCCGCGTCCCCGGCGAGATCGCCGCGGACGACGACCTCCATCATCCAGTCCGGCGCGGAAAACCCCGGCGGGCACGGCAGGCCGAAGGGCGCGCCCGCGAAGGCGTCGCCCGCCGACGCCGTCGGGCCCCGGTAGGCCAACCCGCGCTTCTCGAGGAGCAGCAACCCGTGGAAGAGGAGGAAGAGGCGGCTCGACGGCTGGTGGATGGACGCGACGACGGCGACGTTCCGCGCCTTCGCCAGATCCCGGAGGGCCTCGACGACGACGCAGGCCGTCGTGGAGTCGAGGCCGGACGTCGGCTCGTCGCAGCAGAGCAGCCGCGGGTTCGTGAGCATCTCCTGGCCCACCATGAGGCGCTTCCGCTCGCCGCCGGACACGCCGCGGTCCATGCCGCCGCCGACCATGGCGTCCGCGCAGTGCGACAGGCGCAGGAGCTCGATGCACTCCTCGACCTGCCGGAGCTTCTCCGCGAGCGTCGCGTCGGCGAGGCGGAGCCGCGCGGAGAAGACGAGCGTCTCGCGGATGGTCAGGCCCGGGAACACGAGGTCGTCCTGCTCGATGAACGCGACGTGGCGCTTGAGCGCGCTCGACCACGCGAGGTCCGCGCCGTACCAGACGCTGCCGCCGCTCACGGGGCCGCGCCGCGCGATGGCGTTGAGCAGGCTCGTCTTGCCGCAGCCCGTGGGGCCCATGAGCGCCGTGAGCTCGCCCGCCGGCACGTCGCCGCTGCACGGCGCGAGGGCGACGACGTCCTTGAACCGCACGGACAGGTTGCGGAAGTGGACGCTGAGCTCCATGTCGGGCTTGTTGTCGGGCTTGAGCTGCTTGTCCATGTCGGGCTTGCACATTCTTGCTTTGCAAGTCGTGTGGTTGGTTGCTGACTGAGACAAAGCTTCGAGCATCGGTCCGGAGCAGTCCTGCGCTGGCACTGCTCAGCTGGGGCCGCTCTCAGGATTTTGCGAGGACAGCTCAGGATTTTGTGGCATCGCCCGCGTCGCCGCCCGCCACCGCCATGCTGAACTATTTTTTCGGCACGAAGTCCAACTCGGACGCCGAGCAGATCCCCGACCACATCGGGGAAGCTCCCGCCGCCGCCCCCGCTTTCGAAATCGTGCCCGGTTCGCCGCTTTCGAAGCTCGACGCCGCCGAAGCGCAAAAGGTCTCTCGCGAAGCCTTCGCTGCGACCGAGGCCCCCCGCGCCGAGTCCGGCGACGAACTCGAGGACGGCGACGAGGGCGCCGAAGAGGGTGACGAAGACCCACATGTCTACGCGTCCGCGGAGAAGAGCGAGGACTTCTTCCGCGTGTGCGGTCCGACGAAGTCGATCGCCGCGGGCCAAGCCCCGCGCAACCTCGACTTCTCTACCCCCTCCGAGGACCGCACGCCAGCCAACCGGCAGGTCCCCTTCGACAAGTACTGCGGCGCGTGCCCCGCGGATCCCGACGACGCGTACGCGTCACCGGGGCTCGAAGCGATTCTACGAAAGAGCCGGGTCGACGGCGAGGGCTGGACGCCGGTCAAGAAGGACGCGAAGACCATGTCCGAGAAGGAGAAGCGCGCGTTCGATCGACCGGGTGTGGAATACTTCACCTGGGTCTGCTTGGGCAAGTGCTACGACCCGCCGTGCAGCGCCAAGATCCGCGCGTACCGGACGACGGACAACGTCCTGCACGTATACGAGGGTCGAGGCCACACGCACCCGCCCGCGGACGTGCGGCTGACGCACCGTCAATCAGGCCTCGCGCCCCAGGTCAAGCTCGCGCTCGAGCCACTGGCCGCGCACGTCAAATACGATGAGCGACTCATGCTTCGCGTGCTCAAAGACGCGGGCATCGAGCCCAACTTCAAAGATCACGGTCAAGCGCTCAAAAAAGCCTTGAAGCGCTACGTCATGTACCTCCAGCGCGACACACGACGGGCGTATTGGGCTGGGACCTACCAGGAGCTAGCCGCGTGGCTCCACGGCCATGTCTTGAACCTGGGAGACGTTGATGAGCTGATCCAGTCCTAGGATCCTGTAACGCGTGGGAGCAGCCCCGATGCGGCGCCGCGAGGCTGCTGGAGTGCTTCGAGGCAGCGACAGCGTCGCGTGCCTCTGCGGCGCGCGCTCGCTGCCGTCGACGAGGGCTGCGCGCGCCAAGCGGCCCCGTGCAGCAGCCGAGGACGCGCGCCTCGGCGCAGCGTGTGCAGGGAGCTACGGGCGCGCCCCGCGGCGT